TACAAAAAATTACCAAAAAAAACATATATACATATATAATAATACAATAATAATATAATAATAATAATGATGATAATAATAATAATGATAAAATAAGTAAATAAATAAAGGGGAAAAAAAGGAAGAAATTAATTAGTAAAAATGGAAAAAAGGGAGGTAACTAATAAGTAACTAAATAAGGAAATAAAGAAATAGTTTGCCCCGCAGGTGTGGCGGGGCGGACCGCCCCGGGGCAGATGGGACCCCCCAGGTGCCCCCGGCACTATGCAGCTCTGGGCAGCGGGCGCACAGGAAGCCCCCCCCCCCCCCTCACCCCCCATGCCCCATAGTATGACTGGGTTGAGGACAGCTCAGGGTCCTCCGTGTCTAAAAGTATTTAAAACAGAGGGCTGGGCGCAGCAAGGCCCCCCGAGCTGTACCCACTGCCCGAAGAGCCTCACTCCCCGACCCCGCTCAACACACCCAGCCCCCTGGGCCTATATGTTAGGGTGGGTATGGTCAGATGGGGTCCTGCAGGGCGGGGGAAAGACAACCTCCTAGGAGGCACCCTTAACCGCACCCGGCAGACACCCCCATGGTCCCCCCGGAGAGGGCAGCCGAGCTAGGCTGCATTGGGCGCCCCCGCTGCTGGAGCCCCACCCCCGTCCAGCGCCCCAAGAGTCCCCCAGGTCCGGGCCTGGCAACCATAAGGGACCGCCACACCCGAAGAGGGAAAGAAAAGAAAAAAAATATATATATATATACATACATACATATAATAACGATAATAATAGTAATAATATTGATAATAATAGATAAATAAATAAACAATACAAATAATAAATAGGTTAAGGGGGTAACAACAAAATCGATGACGAAATAACTAATTGAATAAGCCAACTCAGTCGCAACAGTCTGGTCCCGGACCCACCGCCGCCCAGCACCGCCCATGCAGCCACGGACGAAAGGCCGCGCACCGCCCCGCCAACCCCACCACCACCGCCACCACTCACCCGGGCACATCAGAGGGCCAAAGCGGCACCAGGGCTCGCACCGGCCCACCCCCACCACGGCAAGCCCGAGGCGACACCGCGGGAGGGGGCGTCCCCCGGGGCAGAGAGGCCGCCCCCGGACCCAGTACTCAGGCCCCCAAGCCCCAGCCCCACGCCCGAGCAGACCGGCCACCGCACAAGGCCCCCAGGGGACCCTACCCCACACTGCAAGACAGCACCATCAGGGGACCCCCAAATCCACCAACCAGGCAGAGGCCCAGTCACCGCCGCAGAGATCAATCCCTTCCCCACCACCCGAGAGACCGCCAGGATCCCAAGTTCTCAGGTCCCCCCAAACCCCCGTCCGACCGCCCAAATCTGGAGGACGGTAATCTGCCCCTTCTAGGTGATAAGGCTAATCAGCGGGGCCAGAGAGAGTGAGAATCGTCCGATTGATGCGTTGAGTAGGCAGACATTATTTCCATGCTGATGTGATCTGAAAGATAATTCCTAAATTGATTAATATTAAGATTATTTTTCATTTTCCAGTTCATGAGAATAGTTTTCCTTGCGATGCACAACACCGTGAGGACCATTTGTGCTGACTTCCTATCTACGTTGATTCCATTTAAATCACCCAGTAAACACAATTTGGGGCATGCAGGAACATTAAACTTTAGCCATACTGATAATTCCTTACAGACCTCCAGCCAGAACTTATGAACAGGTGCACAGAACCACAAAGCATGTGCATGATCCCCCGGTGTGTTGTCCGCGAAGTGTATGCAGATATTAGAAGGTGCAAGGCCCATCCGGAACATCCTTTGTCCTGTATAGTGCGTTCTATGAATAATTTTGTATTGTATAAGCTGCAAATTGGTATTTGTACTCATACTGAAGATGTTTGAACATATTTGTGGCCAAAAATGACTGTCAGTAGTGAATGATATGTCTGCTTCCCACTTTAACGATGACAGAGAGATTGTGTCATCTGCCTTTGACAGTAATTTATACATTTTGGTTATCAATTTTGGGGGGCAGATATTTAGGTATTCTGCTACCCCAGTTGGGAGTTGCAAGTCCAGCTGGCGGACAACATATCTCTTAGTTATTACGGATTTGAGTTGATGGTATTCTAAAAATGAACTGCTACTAAGCCCATATTGAGATATTAACTCATCAAATTGGATGAAGTTTCCATCTTGAATTATATTATCTAAATGTTTAATTCCATTGTTCTTCCATTGAATGAAGTTGAGCATTTTTTTATTTTGAAGGATGTCAGGGTTGTTCCAGATGGGTGTAAGTCTACATGGGAAAATTGAGGACTTTGTAATTTTGACAAATTCCCACCAGGCTGTCAGAGAAGTGCTTATATTAATGCTTTTGAAGCATTTGTGACGTTTTATATTTGGACTAATAAATGGCAGATCAGAGTTTTTCAGGTTTCCGCATAGACTTTCTTCGACATCTAGCCATGGTTTATCCTGGGGACTGGGTTTAAGCCATTTTGCAATATACTGTAGCCTGTTAGCTAAGAGGTAGAAAGAAAAATTCGGTAGATCTAATCCACCCCTGTCTTTGGTCTTTTGAAGAGTTTTTAAACTGATACGTGGGGGTTTGTCTTTCCACAAAAAATGCATGACTCTAGCGACTTAAACCAAGTAGCATGTGGTTTAGTGGGAATCATTGAAAAGAAATAATTAATTTTGGGAAGTACCATAATTTTTATAGTGGCAATTCTCCCCATGAGTGAAATGGGTAGTGATTTCCAACGTGTGAGGTCATCCTTTGTTGATTTTAAGAGGTGTACATAATTTAGTGCTGTTAGCTCTGAGAGCCAGGAGGAAATGTTTATGCCCAAATATCTAATATTACCTGACTGCAGAGTGATACCTGGTATGTTCTGGAAGCTACAGTTAATTGACTTAGCTGTGGACTTAGACCAATTCACCAAATATTCGGAAAGTGCTGAGAACTGATTTATTAATGTAAGTAAACAGCTGACAGATGGCTGTGAGTTTTGAAGGAAAAGTAATACATCATCTGCATAAAGACTGATCTTATGCTCTGAACCTTGGGGTTGGATTCCCTTGATACTAGTATCCTGTCTGATAGCAGCTGCTAAAGGTTCAATAAATGAAATGTTTATACTGTTCGGCCCACGACATTGAGTGTGCTTTGAGTTTTGGCCCCCTGTGTATTTGAGTTTGACACCCCTCCTTTACAGCATCAATTAATTTTCTCTATAGACAACAAAAGTAATCTTAATACAATTGGCAATTAATCATAGCACCTCCTTTTTTGTTTATTTATTTTGTAAACTATTTTTTACCATGTCTTGTTCATCATTATTGCAGCAAAATAGTGCATCTGAGTGCTGCATTATAGTGAACACATTTGCTTTGCCAAGGGAAGCTTTATGGATAAAATGCCCACAATAGTGCATTTTTGTTGTATTTTTGACTTCACCCCACAGATCTCACATATCTCCCAAAACCCTACATTATGACTGTCTTCTGCATTCCAGAGTCAGATTAGAGAGGGCAAAGAGGATTAAGACTGGACAGATTGTACGATGAGGTTAATGCCTTTAAAACAACATGATGTTTTATGTTTGGACTAATACATGGAAAAGCCATATATATTCAAGTTTCACAAAGTGCTTGTTCTACCTCTAGCCATGGTTCATCCTGTGGGCTGGGTCCACTGGAGTAGGACTTAGACTAGGTAACAGAATCATCAGAAAATCCAAATGTATTTATCGCTGTTAATATATGACTCATCATCTGCATAAAGGCTGATTTTTTAAACTTTTTTTTTGCTCAGTGTTCTTGGCTTGGATGTCCTTGATATTTCTATCTTGTCTGATAGCAGCTGATAATTGGTCAATAAAAGTGGCAGATGGAGGGGGAAAGTCAGAAGCTCTATCTGGTCCCTCTATAGATGAAGGCTTGGAAAGGTTTTAACCATGGTTTCCTTAGCCAGTCAATGAGGTCTGACACAAACCAAAATATGTTTAATGTTAAGAATTTTAAAGTAGCTTGACCTTTTCACACATATAGTGAAAAAAATGTAGTTTCCAAGTTGTTGATGGTAGAAAAGTCTATACGATTAATTAACCTGCACATTTTAGTGGATGAGTGTCGGCCATTTATAAAACCTGACTATTCGGGATGTATTATAAAGAGTAGTTTTTTTCCAGTCTTTCCGCGAAGGCGTTAAAAATCATTTTTAAGTCAGCATTTATTAGTGATATTGGGTGGTAACTAGATGGAAATACAGGATCCTTTCTTTTTTTCTTCAGTAGAGTAATATGTGCATAGTTCATGATCGGAGATAAATTACTATGTTTCTTGACTTGTGACACCATTTAATGAAATATAGGTGCTAAATCGGTCCAAAATTCTTTGCAGAACTCTACTGGAAAACCATCTGGTCCTTGGGCTTTATTACAAGGCCTATTGAGAGAGATGAGTCCAAATCCATGGTCTGTTCCGGTTGTAACTATGAAAAGATGATATTACGAAGAAACTGATCATTATTACTATCCTGAGTATTATTTAAATACGTACATAAAGTTTTATAGAAATCTCTAAAAGTGTTATTGATTCTGTCAGGATCATGTGTAATATTTCCTTCGGAGTGTTTTACTGAAGTAATTCTTATTTTCTCCATTTTCTCTTGTTTTAACTGATTAACTAAAAAGAAAAAGACTTATTTTCATGTTCAAAGTTCTCAAAGTGTCTTTTTTATCAGAAACAGTGTTTGTTTATCAATAATTCCATTTAACTCAAGTTTGGCTTTCATCAATTCCTTCATTTTTCTTGGGAAGCACTGTAGGTTGTTTGATGATGGTTAGGTAGTCTAATGATTTAATCCTCCTATGGCAACTACATTATTGAAGAGATCAGAGTGTGATGTGAAGAAAGAATGAACGAATGAGAGGTCGTCAACGTTTGGGCTGTATGCGATACATAAGTTTATATCTTGGATAGACAAGTTAACTACAGTTAAGCTACAATCAGATTCTCGAGATAGAGACCAGATAAGAGGCATCACAACTTAACATTTGAATTTGAGAGTTCCATTATATGGCTAAACAATAGTGTTTTAGTTCGCAGCTTCACCTCACAGCGAGAAGATTCCTGGTTTAAATCCCTGAAGAACTGGGGGACTCTCTGTGTGGAGTTTGCACGTATTCCCCATCAGGCTTGCTCCCACTGTCCAAAAACATGTATGTAGGATATTAAAGACTCTAAATTCCTTATAGGTATAAAAGTGTGTGTCCATCTCTGCATGGCCCTGTGACATGATGACCTGCCTCTTGCCCCATGCCAGCTGGGATAGGTGCCACACCTCCCGATACCCTACTAGGAATAAGCTGTATAGATGATAGATGGACAAATTGAATTGTATCAGTCGTAGTTAAGATAAATACCACAGGAATTTTACAGCACTAAAATCTCATTGAAATGCCCAAAGTTTACTTTGGAGGATTCTGAATTGCATTGATGGCTTCATAAATTCACATTAAGACACCATTATGAGAAAGATATCATGATATTGATTGATGGGATGATAATGTGAGAAGCTTTAGTGAAAGATATTGGATGTTTGACTGATAATTGATTTTCCGCTAAATTATTTGATCATGTTAAGTAGGCGAGTGCCAGAGTTAAAGCCTCTTTGTTAAAGAAAGAGGGACGTGAAACAAGTGGATTGTGCTGTTGTGTTGCCTGAGTTTTATATTAAATGACAGACATGTTTATAACCCCGTGCATGTAACAATCTTAGTTTTGCAGCTAACTTTTTAGAGCTTGTTTTCATATATGATTCAACATGTTAAACTTGCTTGAAACCCCACCAATTGAGATTCTTCGTTCAAAATCACTTTGTAAAGCAAAATGGAATATGTCAATAAACCATAAAAACTCTCTGTACTAAACACAGTACTCTCCAAAGAATTGGGTTATACACAATTTTCTGTTATTGAACGATAAGTAATAAAAAATTCAGCATAAAAAATGTGCTCATTGACTTTGTTTTGTGTGTATTTGTTAAATATTGTAGTACTTGATCTTCTATCCTGTTGTGCTTTCATTTTCCAGCTGGAAATGGAGAAGCTGCAACTCCAGAGTCTGGAGCAGGAGCACCACAAGCTGACAGCTCAGCTGAAGGACGAGCGGGAGAAGAACAAACACATCATCATGATGCTGGTGCGCGAGTGCAAGCAGCTTGCCACACGTGTGGTAGAGGAGTCAACACGCTTCGACGAACTCCAGGCTCGCATGGAGGAGGAAAGTCATGCTTCGGCACAGCTGCAAGAAGAGCTGAGCACCGAGCGCGAGCGTAGTCAACTGATGGAAGCCAAGATGGAAAAGCAGCTATCTGAATTTGACACAGAGCGTGAACAGCTGCGTGCGAAGCTGGGCCGAGAAGAAGCTGAGAGCCACAGCCTGCGAAAGCAGGTGGAGCAGCTAAGGACTGAAGGTAGTGATAGGAGCGATTGTGCAGCAGCTGCTCTGCCTGCTGCCAGTGGAATCGTACCTCCCGCTGTCACCAGCACACCACCCAAACCTAAAACTCTGGTATCTATTTGTGTAGCCACAGAGCCCATTTGCTTTCAAACAGTGTCTTGCCAAACGGATGTCCCCCCCACAGAGGGTGATGGTCCTAAGAAGACCCCCCTCGCTATACCAGTCAAACCAGGCCCTGCCAGCTATGTGGGTCTGAGCTTGCCAAAGACATCTGGCAGGGGGATTGTCCACAGTAGCTCAGGAGGACTGGCACAGACTGAAAATGGATCAGAGAGCCAAACTCTCCACGTCTTACCTACTGGAGTTAGTCCACGCGTCCAAGCAGCACGGTACAAGTTTCAGGAACAGGAACAAAATGGTACATCATCCCAGAGCCCTCCAGCCCGTGACCAATCCCCCAACAACCGTGACAACTTTGCAGCCAAGCAGCAAGCACGTCACACTGTCACACAGGTCCTGTCACGCTTCACCAGCCCTCCTGCAGGAGGTGCTGGATCCCTGCGTCCAGGCCTGCCTCACTCTGCCTCTGAGGGAGGCTCCTTTCCCAGCCGCCTGAGCCAACCAATTGGCATGAAGTCGCCTTCCGTTGCAAGAATCGACCGGGGAAACCCTCCCCCTATACCTCCCAAAAAACCAGGGCTCTCTCAGACCCCCTCTCCTGCGCATCCACCCATCAAGGGGGCAGGGGAGAGCAGCCGCTCCCCTGGGTCTGGGCTAAAACCAACCACACCCCAGCTGCCTCCCAAACCTGCCCTGGACCTGGTCCCAGCCCTGACAGTCTCTCAGGTGGGTGCCTGCCTCCCCTCCTGCACTCCGGGGCCTGGCTGGGGCCCACAGCGGCAATCAGCTGCATCATGTGCACAGTTCCCCTCCATCATCAGCCCTGTCACCATTGTCAGTAGCCCATTCTCCATAGCCCCCCCTTCCAACTCTTCTTCCATTAGTGCTCCATCCACCCGTATCCCCCATGCCTCTGCAGGCAACCCCCTGGCAACAGCATCAGGTAAAGGGGCTCACCCATGTTCTATCTCCATCAAGCTCTCATTACTGCCTCTTTTCTGCATTAGCCTTTTTCAAGTGCTAGCCTTGGTTAGTCCATAATAGTGATAAGTTCACAGAGTAAGCACAGGCATGAAAAGTAAAACATCTTTTCATTTCACATGACCTGATCTTATGTTGTTCACTGCATTCTCTATCTTCTTATTTCCTCTGCCCCCCTGAAATAATTCCTCCCCTTGGCCCCTCACATCTCTCGTGTGTCGGCCACACACTCAAAAGCAAAAACTGACAAAATGTTTCTAACATGGAGGAAATGCCAGGGCAAACTTCTTCAGAAGGTGAACTGAATAGACTGACATACAAATAGTGAATTTTAAGTATTACTGTATAGTCAGATTGGTTTCCTACTAGTAACCCCTATCCTCTCTGAAGCTGATGCCAGAGGCTGCTTTCTCTCTCCCTTCCCTTTTACCATTCCCTTTGGCATGCCATGATCATTCTTCACAGTTTCTAGCTCCTTTTCTTTTAACTTGAACATCTGACCATTTGATATTGAAGGCCTTCTATGCGTCTTTCCTTTTTTTCTTTAGAAATGATAACATTCATAATCACCTTGCAATGTTCCTTTATGGACTTGCTTAGTTTAACTTAGAATGATCAAAGGTAATATTTTGAAAATGTGTATCCTGACTTTGTCTTAATGTGTAATGACTCCAACCCCTTTATAGTGTGGTTTGAAGTGTTAAATGCAGTGTATAAATCCTTCTCGAAAAAATTACAAAAAAGATTTCAGTTGTTCATTGAATCACCATTAGATATAACTGTAACATGTAAGGGCACTGTTAGTTTGCATATTTGATAGTCTTGTTGTCTTGCATGCAAATGCATCTTGTTTTAAAATTATGTAGCTGCTCTACGTTTTAATGTAACCTATTGCTTTGATTAGACCAGAATGTTTTAATTTAGCATAAGGCACATCTTTTACTTACAAACTGAAAAACTTGACCATGTACTAAATAATTTTTAGATTCTCACTTGCTCATATGGCCAATCTTTAAAATTCCATTTTTTTGCAAGTTAATGCAAATGGATTTCAAGTATAGATATTTCCAATCTTTCACGAGAATTGCATTTGATGCACCATATTGTATTGAAAGAAAAATGCTATATAGCCTGAGAATAGAGCAGAGGAATTGCGGGAGGTTTATTATTGTTTTTTTTTCAACAAGTCTACAAATTAAGCAAAGTCAGCAACCTAATACTAAAACCTATCCCACAATCAGCAGTATATAAACAAACCGAAATATCAACTTAAATAGCTGCCATCTTGACTGTGAGACTTTATGCTACTTTTATTTTTTTAGATTGTAGGTATCTCTTTGTCTAAACATTAAGACAGATATCACTTCCAAAATTCCTCACTCTGTCTTTTTAACCTCCGTATTTCAGAAAGTGATGTATTGAAACATGATAATTGAGCCTGAACAATTGGGAAGTAGTCAATGTATGGCTTGGATTAATTGATAGTGCTTCTTAACCTCCTTTATATTTGTGTCTATGTCTGTGCTTTATTACTTAGAATAGTAATGCGGTATTCCAACACTGCAGTAATTTGTAGGACAACTCGATTTCTTTGTTCTTTTGCTATGTTTGAAGACTATGGGTGAAATTTTACCCTAAGATAACCTGCATCTGTCCTGCCATCATATCAGGAATGACTAAAAGTGTTGCTTTAAATTGCCCCATGGAGAAAGGAAAAAAATAAATTATATACACTTAAGTTTAAAAACCTGTTGACAGCTAAATCCAATTTGAAGTCTCTTTCCTACAACTTTGCTGTTAAAATTTGGGGTTTTTGTACAGCCAAGCATTTTCAGAACATAAATATAAATACAAAGAATACAAATGAAAAACATAAAAAAATTTATGTTTGAAGAATTTAATTAATTATTGAATACATACCCTGTTCTGTACAAATGGAATTACACAACCAAAATACTACTTGTCAAATGAGCATGGAATATGCGGAAGTGGAAAATTGACTTGACAAGAAATATGTTTTTAAGTGTTACAGTTATTTCTAATGACAGAAGGAAAAGATTATCTCACACATCAAATAAAATGCCACCTTTAAAAAATATTAATGTTCTAGCTTAAGTCAATAAAAAAACTAATGTCTTTTAATCTGTTTTTCTGTTTTTTTGCAACTTTTACTTATGTTCTTATTTTATTAGCTTATACTTGATTCAATCACATGTCCTTTAGTCAGACAATAATTTTATTATGAATTTTGGGAATTCTCTATAATTAGTTTTAGTGTGTAAAAATAGAGAATTTATTTAACTTTTCTTGCATGTGTAATGTATTTGCAAAATTGTACCTGCAGTAGCATCCGTGTAGTTACATTTGTTCCACAGTTTAGTTACAATACTTCATTTAATACTTAATTTTTTCAGAATTGCATATATATTTGAACAAAGTTTTATCTCCTAAAATATATATATATATATATTTTGAAGTTTGATTTGAATATTGTTTGGCTGTACATCATTAGCTTTGACAAACTAATGCTGCAACAATTTCTTTGCCAGACAATTTTCTATAAGTTTTCTAACATTCTTTTTTGTTGGTATCTGCTCATCTGACAATAGAAGCTGTACTATTGAAAATATATGCACATCAAATCTGTTCTTCTTTCCTTCTGCCTCCTGCTCTGAAATGCATAGCACTTATAGTCACTTCCTCTCTCATCTGCTCTACGTCTTCGTAGTTTAACCTGTGCTGCTTTGCTGCTCTTTCCTCCTGCAGGCTGGCGTCCCCCCATAATCTCCTCCCTAAATGGCAGTGGGCCTGCTGCCCTGGACAGTGGGCACCCCCTGCTCCTACAAGCTGCTTCCCAGGAATATGTCACTTTATTGTTAACGCTGCTTAACCAACTAGACTCAACACCTACCACCACCAACATCACCTCTTCTTCTTCCACGAAAAACAGGCCCGATCATTGTGTCTTAGACCACCACCTCAACCACATTCAACCTTTGTCTCATTTGCTGCTGCTCTAAACAGACACATAGGTGAGTGGAATTTTACAATTTGTGGAGATTTGCCATTTTGCTTATCTTTCTTAGACTGAAAAATTCCAAAATGATTACTGCTTAAAGGAGTTTTGCAATTATATAAACTTTTTAAAAATATAGATGTTGGGTCTTTGTTTAAGTTATTAAAGATTTAAGTCTGCCAGTTTTGTTACTCCTTGCCTTAAACGGAAAAGTTATATGGATTTAGTTCACGTAGTTATTACAATGTTCAAACATAATAGAACATTTTTCTGTTCAAGAAGAATGACTGCAACGTTTTTTCATCCCATCTGTCCATCTTTTTTCAATACCTCCTTTAGGGTTGCACATTTAAAAGGGCCTGCTAAACATACCATCATGCAAGAGGCAGGGTACAAAACATCCTTTGTCTATAACTTAACTTATTGACTTTTCTTTTCCAAATCCCATCCATCGTTACGTCTTCGTTTGTTTTTTCTAACTCAGTGGCATTTTTATTATCCTGTTTTTAATCGTGTGTTAAGCGATTTTTTTTTTTTTAAACCCTCATGAGCAGTAAATGAAACCTTTATAAATTGATGCTGGTTAATTGACTTTTTAATTTTAAGGAAGGCCGAATGGCAAATCATGATTTGTATTTATAAACAGCTTGTGGTATACATTGATACAAAGAAAAGAACAGGATTGAGGTTTGGCCATCCATTTTTGATAACTGATTTAATAGTTCTTGAGTCGGTTCACAAATACATTTTATTCATTTCTGTGTGTCTTTTCTATGTTTCACTTTGTTTTTGCTGTTACATAAAAGATGGAATTTTTTTTTTTTTCCAAAGGCTGACCGAGATAATGTAAACACAGATTAGCTCCTCTTTGAGCAGTTTGTGTCATCGGCATTCACAAAGCTGCATTTAAATCCTAAAGCAAGTCCCTGAAGCAGTTTCTAATCCACGTAAAATCAGATCTTTTTAAGACACTTCGTTTTGAGGAATAGATAGGAGGTCATGTATGACTACCCCTTTAAATGCCTCTGCAATTATATTTTCCTTTATTAGTCACTGAGCCTTTTCCAGAACAGCTCAAAATAAGTAGTACATAGTTATGTTTATGCTCAAGCATTTAGCAGACACTTTTATCCAAGGCAAAGTAATGTTTGATGTGAATTTGATGATAACATTACAGTTAATATTGTTAACATTGCAGTTCACATCAAAACTAACAATAAGATAAATAGGAGAAACTCACTAGTTCAATGACAATGGTGCCGGTGTAGAAATGGAACAAATTATAGAGAGAAAGTGCAGTAGAGGAGGGGGAAAGGTGCACTGTAAATGTTAGAGTAGGAGCTGGGTCTTCAAGAGTTACTTGAAGATCGACAGGGATGTCATGCTTAAATGTCTCACCAGAGGGAACGTGACTGGACTGAGATCTAGCCTTCTTCCATCCATTTTCTATACCGCTTATTCCTAATGGGGTCATGGGGGGAGGCTTGAGCTTATCCCAGCTGAAAATGGGCAAGAGGCAGTGTACACCCTTGACAGTTTGCCAGTCCATTGAAAGACCACACAGAGGCAAACAACCACACACACTCACATTCATTGCTAGAGGCAATTTGGAGTGTCCAATTAACCTAACATGGACAGTGCGAGGAAGCCACAATACCCAGAGAGAACCCATGCAGACACAGCAAGAACACGCATAGTCCGCACAGAAAGATATCCCGTCCCCCGGGAACGGGAACTAGGAACCCTCTTGATGTTAGGCAATGTAGCTAACCATTTATGGGGGGACATTTATTTCAAAAGACGTATTCTAATCACAAACGAAATTACATGAAACAGGGTTTTTTGCCAATATTTGCCTTTTATTTTCCTTGACGAGTGAGCTTTTTGGTACTGCAATTGAGACAAAAAGTTGCACAATCCGTCAATTCAACAAAGATAAAAGACCATCCATATGTCTGAGATTTAGTCAAATTTTTGTATGGAATACTAATTAGGTGGCACGGTGGTGTGGTGGTTAGCACTGTCGCCTCCCAGCAAGAAGGTTCTGGGTTCGAGTCCCAGGGAGTTTACACGTTCTCCCTGTATCTGCATGGGTTCTCTTCGGGTTCTCCGGCTTCTTCCCAAAGTCCCAAAACCTGCATGTTAGGTTGACTAGACTTCCAAATTGCCCTTTGGAGTGAATGTGAATGTGAGTGTGTGTGGTTGTTTGTCCTTGTATGTCTTGTGTGTCGGCCTGCGATGGACTGGCAGACTGTCTCTCGCCCGTTGACCACTGGGATAGGCTCCAGTTCCCCCCCGCAACCCCATCAGAGAATAAGCGGTAATATATGATAATGGTGGGGTGGATGGAATACTAATTAGGTTACTGTTGTTTTCTGTGGAGAAAAAAGTACCTGTTTATTTCAGGATGTTGAAGAGAAAAATACAGTTTTTATTTTGTTTGCTGTTTTCTTCTGTTTCTTGTTTCATGCAATGCTACAGCTTACAACACTTAATTTCAAACTGAAACACTTTTGTGTTTATGAAAATTGTGTTGTCTCATATGCATTTAACAAAACAGTACATCTCCTTTGTCTCTGTCACCCTCTCCATCAGTGTGCAGTTGCTGCTGTCTTTTGGATTGCCTGCTTATGTTTTGGAAGAAAATGGATACATACCCTTACACTTTGCAACTGCCCACATCCACAGTAGGTAAACTAATTTAAACATTTTAGATGAGTCCGTCCAGATTAATCTTTTTGTCTTTTTTTGTTTCTTGTCCTCAATTTCTAAGTGCAAAACAAAGCAGCAGACAGAAATGCGGATATATATTACATTTGTACTAGTGATTTTGTGTAATAGATTTCATCAAATCATACACTTTTAAGTAGATGTATATGCTTCATGTACACTACAAGTTTTAGTTTGAAACACTCATTAATCTGACATTTGTATGAAGATACACACCGACATCACAAATTATTCAACATAAAAATATGGTCCCCAGACATTAGAAGTTTAAATGAAAGTCTGTGTGTGCTTTCTGAGTAATCACATATAGCTGGAAAGCAAGTGCAGCTGGAATCTGCTAAATCAAGTAGTGTGCAGTTCTCATTACGTTATTGTCAGTTGAGCTTCTCATTGTCAAACATAAAAAATGCATTGTTATTTATAATTGAGCTGAAAGGTTTGCTCCCACCATACACTGTATATGCTGTATATTTGTATCCCTTGATATTGATGGTTCCCAAAGATTAATCCCAAATACTGTAGTTTCTGTCAGTCACAGTTTATTTTATTGGGGTTGCAAAAAAGAACAGTGCCAAGGAACAGCTGGGGTTGTAATAGCTGATCACCAGGTTATTTATAGACTGGGATATCCAAAACGCATGCTGACCTGCCCCCAACCACATATCCACACAGAGCTTACTTGCTAACTTTATTTTCTGTGGTTATTTAGGTTTTTGTTTCTTAGTTCTGTTGTTATGTTTCAGTCTCTTTGTCCTGTTTTATCTTGAAATAGCAATACTCCTCTTGTTTCAGGTCTAATGCTCTTTCTCATGGGCCACCAGTCAGATTTTCTCCCCTGATCCCTGATAGTGTCCACCTGTTCCCCATTTCCCTCCATGTGTACTTGTAGTCTGCGTCTCCCTTAGTCTTGAGCTAGTGCGTTAATTTTCGTCCAGGAATTTGTGTGTTCATCCTGGCCTTGCCACAGTTTTTCCTCAGCCTTGAAAACCTCTCTTTTAATTCTTATAATATAGACTGTCTTTAAAAAGTAAAAGAAAAAACCTGCATCTACATCCTGTGTCGTGACAACAAGCTCTGCTTTTCCCGTGACTTTGTCATTCTGTTTTATTGCTGGTCTGTGCTTGAGTTATTCCTTTACGAATAGATGCAGCATAGCAGACAGCAACTGTAATTAGCCAATAAAAAAGAAAAACAAAATATCTCAAAATTGCAGGCAGCACTGTTGATGTGTTAAAGGCTCCAATATATTCCCTGTTTACACATGGGTTTTACTGTGCATTTCTCCCTTCAGCTGCCTAAAGGGGCTGCTGTCTGAAGGAGCTGCTATGGACTCTGTGGCAGTGGGGAGGCAGACTTCCTTTTTCCTAGCCTGTGAAGCAGGAAGACATGACTGTTTTGTGTTCTGCTGAATGCTGGAGCTGATTGCTCACTCATCACCTCAGTAGGTTTTCCTTTAGTGCCCTGACCTCTGGCTGTATTTTTTCTAAATAAAATGTTTAGTTCAAGTTGTTGTTTTAAGTAATTTTGTACAATACAAGAACATTTCCGCTCATCTCACATGTTGCATGCCTTAGCAGCATGCTATGTCTCCCTATATTTAGTTACCTGGTTTGTTCTGCACTTAGCCTAACTACCCTGCTGTACCAGGACTGTCTCTGAAGGATTTCCAACCTTGTTAGAAAATATGAAGGTAACATAGTAAACTGGCACAAATATAATACTCCAAATATTGGTCAAGGTAACAGTATGAATGTACTGTCAGAACTGAGTTTGGTCAATTCTTAGACAGTGCTTGTCTTTGATTAGGATTATATTACCTAGTTTAATATTTATTTGACATGATGATATTTACATGCAGTATAATGTATCATGCACCTTTTCCACACCAAACGCTAACAACGATAATAAAGTTAAAATAATTAATGTCAAATAAAATATTCAATCAAACAAAAAACGACTTCTGATTCGGAAACCTTCTGATGGTTGTTTTGGGAATAGTCTCCTTCACCACTTTCCTGAAAAATCCCACAACCACTTCTGTAAACACACTGACGTCATCACCTGAGCTCCGCTGGGACATGTCCCAGAGTACTGTCCGCAATACGGTTTCTGATTGGTCAGAACATCATACATCACTTCTCCCTCTACTGGGGCTGTTCGCCTCAACCGCTGCCTATGAGGGTTGCTTTCAGCTTCATGTTGCTCGGCTAATGCAGCGTCTGTGTCCGCTTGCGAGTGGATGTAGACCGGGCTGACAAATGAAGTGAATTCCCACGGAAAGTAGAAAGGTCGTCGTTTGATTGTTAAAAATTCCGGGTTGGGCGAGCAGGACTGAGAGAGAGACAACACCTTTGCACCAGTTTGTGATGATTACAGTCAGAAATACGTACATTAAGACAACGTTTACAACAATAACAAGGACAATTCTTGTCTTTTCATGAAGCTTTCATTTTTGCAGTCTTTATATCAGTAATAGTAATATCAAATATGATTGAATAGGAAAATGTGGTTTAAAAAAAAAAAAGTATGTGCAGAGCATAAAAAACCCCTCTATGGATGTGTGCCCTGCTGACAAGGGAACTGAATTTCTCATGAAACCGGCCGGCCTCCCTTTTTTTTTTGGCCAGCATGCATCTGCAATTAAAGTTGTTGTGTATGGTGATAAACCAATGTGTCTGTCATATGTGGTACGACCAGGTCAGAACATGGTGAAGACCAGTTAAAAACGATAAAAAAAAAGATAAAAAGGTAAACACATTCACTGGCATCATTGCCATCCTTTCCTGTGAAACAGCTGTGAGAATGCTGAGCTTCTGAATAAATGTGCCATAACACATGTAGAAATCGCTTCAAATTGGGCTGAACCTGGGAGGCCTGCATGTGGGCAACAGTGCTCATTAAAGAAGTGGCTGCCCAAAATATTTCAGTTCTGTTTTTCCTCTGAACACTGAATCAGACTCAATTTTTCTCAAATACAAAGTTGCTGCTGTGGATTTAGTTTAACTTTGATTGAGTAATTTGAAGCTGGTTGATTTTGTTTAAATTTTGTTGAATTTTTAAAAATTCATTGAACTTAGTTTAATTATTTTAATTAAGTTGAATTAACTTTAACTTGGTTGAAAGTCCTCTGAGCTGGATTCAAATCCAGGACAATGAGAGGATAAAACTCTTTGGCTCAATAACTTAATAAAAGATGGCATAACAGTGTTATCTGAAAGAGCTGAAACATTTGATGCTTAATTTCTTGAAATATGTTTCAGTAATTGAGGGATGGAAAAGCATACAATCATAATACAGTGAGTAGAAAGAGAAAGAGGACAACAATAGTTCTGTTCAGCGTTCAGAATTAATGAATGATCTTACTTAAATATTGTGGTTGGACTGATTTGATATGAAAATTCTGTTGCATTTTAATTCTTCCTATACCCAAAGATAGAGGTTGAAGTTGAAAGTCATATCAGCTACTCCATGAACAACTATGATTAATCTCAGGCATGAAATTAACCCACCACCAGCTGAAGCTCTGTATTTTTCTTTGCAGGATGGTTTAAAGTGCTATATGCTGCTGTGCTCTCAGGATATTTGGACATCATACGTCTCCTCCTCTGCCATCCGGCTCAGATTGACCCCCAATCATACACCATCCCTGCACACCGCTGCTTTGCTGAACCAGACCAACAGTGATAGCTATACCACTACTCACATGGCTGCGGCATTTGGCCTTTAGGTATAAATCTAATAAACATTATTACAATATTCAAGTGTTTACAATTCTAAGTAAAAAAAAATTGGAAAAAATTGGAAAAAATTAACACAAGGTGGTGGTAAGCACCGTTGCCTCACAGCAAGAAGGTTCTGGGTTCGAGTCCCAGGGGACCCAAGACCTTTATGTGTGAAGTTTGCATGTTCTCCCTGTATCTGCATGGGTTCTCTCCGGGTTCTCCGGCTTCATCCCACAGACCAAAAACCTGCATGTTAGGTTGATTAGACATTCCAAAGTGCCCTTAGGAGTGAATGTGAGTGTGCATGGTTGTTTGTCCTTGTATGTCTTGTGTGCGGCCCTGCGATGGACTGGCGGACTGTCCAGGGTGTACCCTGCCTCTTGCCCATTGACCACTTGGATAGGGTCCAGTTCTCCCCGTGACCCCATTAAGGGAATAAGCGGTAGCGATAATGGATGGATGGATGAACACAAGGTCAAACACCAGAATTTACAGTATATTTTGAAGAAAAAAAAACGTTTGGAAGTAAAAATTATTGTAAAAAAAGTTACTATTTAAACTATTTACAAGCTATAAATACAGCAGTGGGTTTGTACAGGGCAGAAGAACAGCAATAAATGGTATGTACTGTATTATTAGTACGAGTATAAGTATTCTAAGTAGAACAGTAGAGCAGTAATGGTAATAGTGCAGTCGGTGATAAAGTGACAACTACATCACAAATCAAGTAGATTTTAAATTGATTACAGCCAAGTTGTACTCAGGGTTGTTTGTAATCTGTGTGTGCAAAACTGTGTACAGGACTCTCTGGAGGTGGACTTTGACAGGAATGACAAGTGCCACTGAACAATACATGATGCGGCAACTGCAAAGATCTACTGGAAAACCTCTGTGAGTGTTGAGCATGCATCTGTGTCCTTATTTGTACTGAACAATCCTGAGAATTATGTTTGTAGCATACCTTGTCGTATGCAAGGTATCCAACCATTATCAGCACCAGCATCGATTTATCCAGAATACAGGAGGCACAGCATGTCACAAAAATCACCACATCCCTCACATTCTTGTAAATATTTTATTGTATATTTTCATGGGACAGCACTGGAGATATGGTACTTTGATACAATGTAAAATTGGCAGGGTACATCAAATGTTCAAATTGTGTCCAGTTTGCAATTTTCTCTCCCCGGTGCCACTTGACTCATTAGTGTTATAAGATTACAGGAATGAATGGGGGGCCGGTGTTTTAAATATGGTTTTATTGCTCTCACACTCTCTAAAACTGGTCACTGAAAGTTTAAGATGGCACCTTATGGAAAATAACTGTGAGAAAATTGCTTGCACATCCCCAACGTCAAATCCAGTCTTGTTATTGCCAGCATTGCTGCAGAAGTTGAAGGGGTACGAGGCCAGGCTGTCTGCTCGCTCGCTGTTCGCATGATGCGCTCAAGTCTGTTCTTGGTGTGGGCAGAGGATGCAGCGTATTAAACAGTGATGGAGGAGATGAGGACACTATCAATGGTGGCTCTGTAGAAGTGGAAGGGAATCTTGGGAGAGATGTTCATCTTATAGAGCAGTCTGTGGAGGAGCATCTTCTGGTATGCCCGCTTGATGACCTTGAATGAGAGTGTCTCCCACTTAAGTGATGGTGGTGCCCAGGAACTTTACAGAGAAGTTGATGAGAAGTGGGGGGTGGAAGGGTGGGTGCCTGAGGAAGTCCATGACCATCTCCACCATCTTGTTGATGTTGAGTCCCTGGTTGTTGTGTGTACACCACGCTGCAGGCTGTGACACCGTGTCCGTATACGCTATCTCATTGTCATCCTTGATGAGGCCGAAGACCGTTGTGTCATCAACAAACTTGAGCAGCTTGGAGAATGAGTGGCTGGAGAGGCAGTCATTGGTGTACAGGGAGAATAGGAAGGGGGAGCACCGATGTTGGTGATGAGGGGGGCTGACATGTAGCTGCTTGAAGAAGGTTCTTATAAACAATTGCATTCACTCGGCCATGTAGCTGTAGAGCTACAAATCCTGCTGCAGAAAATATACCCCAAACCATGACTCTTCCTCTTCCAAAGTTCACTGAATTCTTTGCACACTTTGGATTCAGTCTTTCTCCAAATTGTTGTTGAACATGTTTTCCATCTAACCCAAATAAATTAAACTTGCTTTCATTAATGAAATTAGGACATGTTTTCCTCTGTCTACACAAAGCTTAGTCTAGCCTTTTGATTCTTTCTGCTAATGAGAGGTTGGTCACTGCAAAGCGGAATTTCTGTCCAAATGCTCTTAAACATCAAGACACTGTATGATTACACAGATCCACACCCTGTTCGGCACTGTGCTGGCAAGCAATTCCAGCTACAGTGTGTAAACAATTGCCTTTGACATCCTCTGCAGCATCCTGTTCTCTCTTGTATTTGTCTACCGTGGATGACCAGCCTTCTTGGGGAACTTGAACGAGTTTGTGATGTTATAAAGATTCAATATTCTTGAAATCACAGATATGGAATGACCAACTTATCTTGCTATGGCTGATAGGGTCATTCTTTTGGCCTTCATCTGGACAACCGGCTGCCGGAGGCTTTCAGTCACTCTAGAATGCACCACCATCTTACAGAGTCAGTGAAACTGAAAGTTAGACTGCCAGTAAAATTGGTGAATCCAGATATTTATGATTATCTATTATAAATATAAAATTACCACCTAGTGTTAGATTTATGCCAATAACTGGGAGCATATCTGTAAAGATTCTCAGTCATCCAGGCCAGGACAAAGCTTGAAAAGTGTAGTTTTTAGAAGACGTTTCACTTCTCACCTAAGAAGCTTCTTCAGTTCTAATTGCCATGCAGGGGCCTGTCCAGCCATCATGTCTCCTGTTTTAGCTCCTTTTCTTTCTCCAGTATCTGCTGCCTGAGGTATTAGACATTTCATCAGTTGTGACATTCTTCCTGATATACTCATTGAGGCTTGTTGTATTATCATGGATAGTAGTTCTTACCAGCTCTCTTGTTTGTAGAATTACAAGCTACTTCAATGTCTGTAATGTTCCCTCATGGTAGTGCAATCCCCTCAGTTCTGACAACCTTACCTTTAATTTTTACCACCCAAATATTCTTCTCTAGTCGGAATGACACTCCGATGTGGTCGCTGTAGATCCTAGTGGTGTGGATCAGTGGATCAAAATCTAGTTCACACCTGACATACAGCTTGATGTTATCCATGTAGAGGAGGTGGCTGATGTTTGCTCCTCTCTGTTGTCGGTATCGGTAGCCATACTTGTTAATGATCTGGCTGAGGGGGTCCAGGCCACTGCAGAACAGCAGTGGGCATAGAGCATCGCCTTGAAAAATTCTGCATTTGATGGTGACTTGTGGAGTTGTTTTGAATTCCTCTAGTGTTTTCCACAATGCCATTGAATTCCTTCCTTCCTTGGGGTCCTGTTGATCTCATACAGATTTATGTATTTCAGGATCCATGTGTGTTAGGAACCCCGACAACCCTTTCAAAGTCTGTGTTTAAACTTGTTTGGTTGTATGTAAACAGCAGTTAAAGGCACCATGCCATAGCTGATATCTGAAAATCATAGCATTGAGAGAGCTATTGACTTCACAAATACCACATTTTTTCCATTCCCTCATTCGGTTGTGTTTATTTTTTAATATATCAGACTCCCGTAGCTTAAGAATGACCAAAACATTATGAATTATGTGTGTATTAAACTTCATTGGGATATCAATTTGATGAGAGCCTTACCCCAAAGAAAAGTTCAATTTGAAGTTTAACAATAAGCATGTCAATTAGAGAGGATCTGATGTTATCTTCTGTTTGTCCTTGTATGTCTTGTGTGTGGCCCTGCGATGGACTGGTGGACCTTCCAGGGTGTGTCCCGCCCCTCGCCCGTTGACTACTGGGTTAAGCTCCAGTCCCCCCCGCGGCCCCGTAAAGGGACTAAAGGGTTGCGAAAATGGATGGATGCTTGAATTAAAAACTTGACAACGAAAAACTAAACAAAAATCTGCTTATAGCTTCTTGTAAAACCTGACAGAGAATCATTACAAGCACTTGCAAAGAGACAGTCAGAGAAAAAGACAATCATCCATGTCTGAAATCAAAATATGGAACAAAACATTGGATATGATGATCAAGATACAGGATAACACAGTTTTTTATGATAAACCCTATTACAGTATGTGTATGTAGTAATGGATGCGTATGTGTGAACATGCAAAGCAGTGGTCATAGTCAGAAGGAAACAGAGAGGACCCCAAGATCAGGCAAATTAGTAGCTTAAGGGAGCACAGAAATCACCCATGTAACACTCAAAAGACAATAGAGAAGAGCCTGAAACAAGAGCCCCCTTTTTTATGTTTATATTTATGCATTAAGCAGACAACTTTATCCAAGGCAACTTACAATGCAGATACAGCATTACAGATGTTAGAATCAACCTCAATATCAATAAACTAGGCAAGGCAAATTTATTAGTAAAGTACAGATTTGTTACTCCAGATCTGTTGAGGCAGAGACCAACTACCTATGTGTGTCTATGTGCTCCCTCCCCTGCCCTTCTTTGTCTTGACTTGTGTCAGAGCCATGCTCTCAATTTGCTCCTTCACTTAGGGTGTACCTTGTCTTAGGGTGCAGGGGCAGCATCTTGTCCAGATTCACCCTGCTGGTTATACAATGGATTCCTTGAAGAACTGGAGGATTTTATGTCTTTCTATTCTTTTTGTGGAAGATGATGAAAACCTGTTCATATGTTGGCGAAGGCCTGTTTTTGGGGGGGGGGATCAGAAGCTGGCTGCAGGCGTTGGAAGCTGTTGGCAGGCTGCCGTTTGAGTTGTTACTCTGAACCATCAACACTCAGATTCAAACTCCTCATGAGTTGATACCTAAACTAAATGCCCTGTTGGGAACTATGTCTGACAGCATGATGGATCTGGGCACCATCTTGGTGAAGTTGGAGACAACGAGACCTACTGAAGACTTTAAACAGACAAAACATGCCCTGCCCTGAAACAAAGTAACCTCTCTTATCTCAATCTGGCTTCCAGAGAGTGGCCTTGGGGCCACTTCTTATCAACTTTTGCCCTGGATGGAAATGCAGACAGATGCTCAGCCCCGTCTGCCCCCAAGCAGAAACATGTCTGCACTCATTAGAAGCAGGAAGCAGGTACATTGAGGGAAATCACTAGTCAGACTCTGGTAGAGGCAGTAGTGGTGATATTGTAGAGAATGGGAAGTAGGTAGGTGATGCTCTCTGAAGAGCTTGGTCTTCAAAAGTTTCTTGAAGATAAACAAGGACGCCCCTGTTCGTCAGTGTCAACTCCTGTGTGACATTTTGTTAATTTTCCTCACGAAGAACAGCTGCTTGCACAGATATGTGCTACCATCTGGACAAACGACGTTGCACATTTTCATCATACAATTCTTTACAAATTCCCGCTCGGTAAACGTCCGTCCTGATTTGGCGATCTCTTCGGCCACAATAAAACTTGCTTTCACAGCAGCTTCATTTTGTGATTTCACTTTGGTGAAAACCGTCTGCTGGGATGTCAAATTCTTCTTCAACTCCTCTTCCCTTTGTGGTTTCTGCCCTGCTCTCAGGTTTTTAAACTTGTCCTGATGTTTTGTATTTTAGTGCCGTTTTAGGTTATACTCCATTACAGCGAGATTACTCCCGCAAAGGCAACACACTGGTTTACCTGCAATTTCAGTAAACATATACTCATTCTCCCACCGGCTTTTCAGAATTGATTTTACTCTTGGACATTGTTGGGGCCTAGCTTGATTTGATATTAGCGTTGTGTACATAAACGGACCACAAACTTGAAACGTAGCTGCCATTGACGGCAATTGCACTGCATCTTGGGATTTGTAGTGTGTGTTATTGGGGCTTCATATCACAGGGCCGTTAAAATAATATATATAAAATGATCTTGCGGTCCGTATATAATTGTATGGAGGGCCAGATGTGGCCGGCGGGCCTTGAGTTTGACTTATGTGCCCTAGAGGATCAGTCACCTTGCACAGCCAACAGTGGCAGTTCAGTGCACGACCCAGTTTCCCCAGCCAATCCCAGGAGCCAAGACCCATTTACAGGTGAACACAGAAGCAATGAGCAAATTTACCCCACCCAAATCCCCACCCTCTGATATGTAATATGGAATGTGAGGGAATGACTGTCAGCGATCCTGATGTCTTCAGTAAATCTGTGGATAAATCATTTTGTTATCAAGTGGACTTTATGATCCAGATCTCCTGAAACAACAATCAACTTGATTGTTCACTTTTGTAATTTTTTATTTAAGTTGAATTAACTTTCCTCAGAAGAAGACCAAAGATAAAATATGTTTAATGTTTCTCCTCTGTCTCTCATCTGTTTGGGAACAGAGGTTTCGTTGCCAGATGGTGTCATTGGTGTTGTGGATAAACCAAGTTTTGCAAAAGCTCAACATTTGTTGAAGGACCTGAAAAGTTTGATAGACCATGCTAGACTCCGTCATGGTACAGGTAGTTTTTCCTCATATAGGGGCAGTGGGTTTATCTTTGTACTTATTTATTTAAAAGTTTGCATTGTAATTTAGTTCTGGTCCAAATGATCTAATTAAAAAAATTCTGTTTGTACAATAATGTTGCCCTGTGATGGACTGGCGGACTGTCCAGGGCCCATTGACTACTGGGATAGGCTCCAGTTCTTCCCATGACCGCTTGCGGTAACGATAATGGATGGATGGATGTTTGTACTATAAAGATACGATTGGTTGAAAATGTGTTGAATATTTCCAATATTAAAGTCTGATAGTCTCTGCTGTGAAAACACAAGGCAAAAGTTGAAAAACAGAAGCATTATCGTACAGTGGCGCAAAAAAATGCAATATGAGGATGTAAGGTCTCAAGAGGTTCAAATCCTGTGGGCTTGTGTTTTTAATGAACAAGATACCATATAATTGTTTGCTTTTCTGCTGGGTTGCTTGTTTCTGTGGCAAGCTCTGGCAATGTCAGATCCGTACCCCTATTACACTAATAATGAATAATGATGACACAAATGTGATTTGGGATATTCACAAATATTGTAATTGCGAAAAGTGTACATGTCATATAATCAAAGAATGTGCAGTCTCAGCTGTTCAAGAATGTGACTGGTGTGTAATATCTGTCATTTATGTACAAAGCATGATCAGGATAATATCTTAAGTGAGTCTTTTTTAAATGTTTTAGGATTCAAACAGCAAAGAGAAAAGAGGCAGAAAAAATGTTACATTTGAAGATCAGTATTCCCTTTAGTTATTGTTGCGTACTGACTCTAGCACACCTATTTCTTCTACCAGAATTTTTCTTTTGAAAGCTGCTGATGATCGCTCAGTGTTGACAGCAAATTAAGTTGGAGCAGCTAAAGAAAAGTTAGAGGAGTGGTTAAATGAATAAGTTGAGAATCTGACCATTTGTATTTATGTTTGTCTATACAGGTGGCTGGCCCATCTCTGGAATGCTGTGGTTATATTCTCATGTGGAAAAAGCTTTTCTCTCCTGGGTAACTGCCAAGCATTCTTCCTCTCTCTCTTCATCCCTTTGTTGCACATACCATCTCCTAGCAACATTGGAATGAGTGCCGGACAGCAAGCTGTGGTGAAAGCTGCCTTCAGCACCCTGGAAAATGAGGTGGTTCTCCTGGGTAACCCCCTGCCTCAACATGGTGCGCACAAAGAGTTGCTGGTGTCAAACACATGAATGACTCATTTTTGGTGGAAAGTAAACGGAGAGGATAGAGGAAAGTGAACATAACGAGAAAGCATTCTGACATTCTTCTTCTTTGCAATTCTCAGAAATCGACAGATACCTGCTGGAGTTTCCACCTAGCGCTTTCTGCCTATCACGCCTTGGGTCCTATAGAGGGAAAAGCTGTGGCAGAAGAGGAAGGGGGAAAGAATATCATCAAGTAAATACAATCCAACACCAGTCCTACAAAGAAGTAAGGCCCCCCAGTGAGCTGGAGTTGCGATGGATCCTTCGAACGGGTAAGAGCCCTGCCCTGCTGGTATGCATTCTAGCTATTTCCAAATGGAAGGCCTCATGACATGGTCTAAGCTCACAGGAACCATAGCTGGTGATTCAGACAACACTTTTTTCTAAACATCGGCAGTTGTTGCAATGCAAATAAGTTGTTGGAATAGTTTCTTCTGGAAATATGTAATCATAAAAATGCACCACATTTCAAAGATTTTCCAATAAAAGATACATCATGAAAAAAAAAGTTTTCAACCTTCTGCAGTGTTACTGTAGAAATACTGTAAAAATTTAATTCTGAGATAAAACAATGGAAATGTGATGGGATGTCTTTAATTAGATATACTGCAGTGTAGTAATGTCCTACTTGGAATGAGCGTGTATAGAAAATGAATTATTGAACAATCAGTTAGATAAAATTGTAAAATAAAATCATTTTTATTTTACGATTTTAACATCTTAGAAATACTCAAAAATACAAGACATGGAAATTGATGGGAATACTTAATTTGGCATGGTTTTATGTGAAATCAGTGCAATGGTGCAAAGCTGAGAGAGTCAACGACTTTCTACACGGCCATCTTGAATCCTCCCTTTTTTGGTTCTTGACAATTGTGCCATTTTTTAAAACAATTTTACTTTAACTTTACTTTTACATTTATGCGTTTATTAGACACTTTTGTCAAAAAAGAGCGTTTAACATTCAACTACAACTTCATATTAATGGGGACAGCATGGTGATGATGTGCAGATGAGCACTGTTGCGTTACAACACGGGGGTCCCTGGTTCGAGTCCCCAAGGGATTGGGACCTATCTGTTTAGGGTTTGCATGTTCTCCCATGTGTGTTGGTTTTTCTCCGTAGGTACACCGGCTTCCTACCATTGTCCCACACATGCATGTTAAGTTAATGAGTTAATGAAATCGCCGCTAAGACTGACTGTGTGGGTGACTCTTTGTCTCTCTGTGCCTGTGATGGCAAACTGTCCAGGGTATACTGTTGTCAGGTGGGATAAGTTACAGCTACCCCATTAGTAATAAGAAAATAAATGGATGCATTGATTTTATCTTTGATTCACCTATATCTGTGCTGAGAAATTGAGATTGAAATCTTTTGAGAAATTCTTCAGTTGTTAATCAACAGCTTCAGAAGCACTAGTCTGCTCAGGCACAACTACTCGAAAATAAATTAATCAGTTTAACGTTTGGTGGCAATCCTGGTGTTCTCTGCCTGGTCAAACGGACAGTGCAGCCAGATGAAGCCATCTGTTGTCCCTCGCCTGCACTCCAAATTTTTCCTGCTGCTAAACTTTTCATAACCTTCATTTATCTTCACAGATCTCTTTGGCCAAAGACGACTTGGTACTTTTATCCAGCTCTCCAAGTGAATTATCTGCCTACAGCAAGCACCTATGGTGAGACCAGGGACAAAAATTGGGTCACAGTACAAAAAATGTCAAAATAAATAATTATTATAGTATGTGTTGTGAAATGTTTATGGTCAAGCAGAGACGAGAAAATGTGTGTTTAAAATGAAAATCCAGAGGTTAATAAATTTACAGAAATCATATAAAAAAGCTGCACAGTTCTACAAGTGTTTCAGTTGAGCGCATTTCTTTCCTATTGGAGTCTAGATCCTTTGACACATATTACTAAAAATAGCTGTATCCCACCATTCCTGATCCCTCTCCTGCAGACTGAAAGTCAGCTGAACTTCAGCTCTATCCAGCCGTCCCACTTATAACAGTGACCATAATCTGGGTCACTATCGTAAATCGCACCTTCCAGTCCTGAACAGCAGAGGGCAGCAGACACAAGTCTCCTCCACTTTCAGCAGAAGCGACCAAATCAGATGCCCCCCAGACGCAGCAGAACAAAACATGCCCCATCAAACAGCATCAGCTACACAAGGACATCTGGGTCCTCCACAGAAACCTGCTCGAGAGCAACAAGTAGATATCTTCCTTCACCTCTCTCACATGACTCCTCTGCCTAACATGTATAGACTATGTACCTGACAACCTTTGAAATTTAGTATTTGTAGTTGTTATCCAAACATGTGACACAGTACTACAATTGTGGGACCATTGTTTTAGTCTATTGCAGTATGTGAAAAAATGTTATTGCTTTGAGGTAAAAAAACAATAATGTGGGGGGGATGAGTCAGACTTTATTTCTCTGTTGTGTTTTTTTCTTACTGTTGCCTTAATTCCAGTATTCAGTGCCACTTGCACATTATGGGTATACATTTCAAATACAGAGTATACCCAAGACTTTACTGGAATTAGAGTTGACAGATTAAGTATTTAATTGGTGGAAACTGCCTCACAAGACCCTTGGCACAGTATTTCTGTCTACTTAAAGTTGTGTACATTTCCTGCTGGTTTAAGGCCACCTTAGAGTGTTTTCGGATAAAGAAAGACAGCATCAGAGCAGGGTTTGTTTTCTATTCTATTGTTGGTTTTTGCTGTTTGGTATTTTGAGATATTCAAGTATTTTATCTGCAAGTTTGGTTTTGAATAATGATGAAATAATCAGGGTTCTACCAAATATATACATATTTGTAAATAAGAGATAGTAAGTTTAAATGCTCTATAGATTGGTGTATGTGGTATGACACTTGTACAGTGACTGAATCCAAAAGCTTCAGAGAATAAAAAAAAAAAGAGAACAATACTTGTAGACATGGTGTTTATTAAACTAAATTTGTTCTGAAACCTTGTGGCAATAAGTGATAGAACTAGGTATTCATAGGATGACCTATGTAAATTGTAAGCCATAATAAATATTTCAAAAGCCCATATTTTTCCTTTATTTATATTCAGTTGAACCCATGCATCTCCCAATAGTGTTATTCAAATGTCTCTTAATTTTGATTTTTTTTTTGTGTTTCATTAAGAACTATATATCTATATATATATATATATATATATATATATGTATAGAGACATTTTAGTCAACATGTGGTTTTGTATTGCTGTTTTAAAGTGGTTTTAAAAAATGTTTTTTCAAAAACAAATATTAAAATAACACATCACATTTTACAGTTTTCTCTTTTTTTTTTGTTTGAACATTTAACTCTACAACTTCACTGTGGCCAAGCGCAGACTAAATCAAAGTCAAGTCCATCTTTGATTGAATGAGCATGATGGCCTGAGCACACATTTTTGGGAATTTTCCTGACTGCTGACAGCAAGCAACAGATGATCAAATAATTTAGCAAGCTGGGCAGTATAAGTAGCGAAGACATTAGTTCTTTACCTTTATTTATATTGCACTTTTCAAGCACAACTACAGTGCACAGTTTTTACAAAGTAATAATTAAATTGGACATATTAGTGGTAAAATTAAGATTGTATAAATGAAAATGTAATGAAGATTGTATAAATGAAGATAAGAGGATTAAAGGTATAACAAAGGAATAAAGACAAAATCTTCATAAAAATAACTGAATATGTACAAAAGGAACTTAAGATGTAATAAAATATTTTTAAAAATGTGAGAAGTGTACTCCTTTGTGAGATACTGTAGCTAAACTAGCAATCAAAACACCCAACAGTAGCCAAGAACTGGCCAAGCTCTGCCCTGTTCGACACTTGACTGCACTCTTAAGATGGCTATGAGCTGGTGTTAAAAGGGAAGGAGCAATCAGTGCATTTGTAGATGCCTATTCGTTTGATGGACAGAATAGGTTTGGAGCCTTTTTAAGTCCATGAAAACTCCTTTATGTTGCAAATACCTGTACAAAAAAAAAAAAAAAACGGGAAAAAAAGAGAAGCACATGTGACTTTAAAGTCTGAGAAAGAAAGTAGATGCACATTTTATTCTCATCCATTTTTAATCTCTCCAATTTTGCTGCTTAAATACCACTGTCACCATTAATTTTGTTAATGATTTGAAAAGATGCCTCTCTTTTCATCTTTTATCTAAAATAGCCACTGAAGGCTCCCTTTAAGGTTAGGGAGTAAGGATTATTCTAAATATTATATTATTTATTTTAAATAATTAGATATGTTGTTCGATGTATTCAATCCAAAGACCAAGTTGTTCAAGTATGTTTGTTGGCATACCATGTTGAAAGTATTGTTTAAAAAAAACAGTAGTAACAAATATCTTACCTGCTTGAGAGATTCTCTTCAACATTGCATAGAAACGCCTAAAAATTTGCCTGCAGTCTATTATTACTTTATTTATTATAGTTTGTTATTTAAAAAAATGTTCAGTAGCACTAATTGCTGATTCCTGAATACATTATTTACTATTTTGTTTAGTCTTTTGGAAAGCGTTTATGTTGAAGTCTGTTGCAAAACATTATATCATGATGCAGGAGAACATGTCATATTGGAAAATTTAGAATGTTTAATCATACCACATTCAAGAATAAAAACTGTCCAAACCTTTTTAAACAAGAATTACACAAACAATGTCAAATTCTCAAACTCTATCTTTAATGAAAATCCAGCTGATTGAACAAATACATTGATACTTTCTTATGTATAAGATTGTTTTTTAATTATCCCATAAAAAGTAATCACAGTTTTTAATAATGCCTTAAATTTCTTGGTTGGTTCCTGAAAAAAGCAGAGCATTTTCCCTCTGCCACAAAAGAAAAAGGCATATAAGACAATGATGCAAACATAGACGTAAATGACAGATACAATGTGAAAATGAAGTATGTTCGTTTTGCTATTTACAAAGAGATATTTCAAATAGAAATTAGGTTAAATTGGTCTGTTAAAAAAAACCCATGTTCAGCATTTACCCACTTTACTTCCTCCCTGCTGTTAAATTGAATGAGGATCTCATGGTGTCTCTAAAGTGCATACACTTAGAAAATAAGGTTAATTGAGTTAAAACTCATTATTTGCATCAGTCAACATCGTTGATGGTAGGTGTGTGCTTGCTGACAGCAGTGGAGTCTCTGCGGGTTGAGATGTGACTAATAAAATATACTGAACAGATCGTCAATATTACTTATTGATATAATAATATCACTTGACGTACATTTCTCCCATGTTGTGGCTTAAACAGGTATTTTGAAAGGCATGGGTGGAAAGAAAAAATGGCCACATTGTGCGTCTTCACCCCTGTAGAGGGGTATTTAGACATGTTTCATGTGCTCTCGAGATGGCACTTGAGGGCAGTTTAGTATGCTTCTTTGCCCCCATAAGCACACTTGAAGGTGCTCTAGTTTTTTAAGGGCAATCCCATCTGTACAGCATAATGATTTATGATGATTAATCAGAAATATGAATATATATGAAGACATATCCTAATTATATCATTTAAGATTTGCAACCTGTAGTACATTGAAAAGCTGCCAGGTGCTGTTTTCAAACGCGAGTCAGTTCCGATGAGATTTATCCAAACCCTGAAACGGTAAAACTAACCAAAATTTGCGTATGTCGTTAGTTCTTTTTAAACTAAATTGAATCATGAGTAAGTGCATAATACAAGGCGGTGTCTCTGAAGTGGCAAAATATCTGCAGTCTTATATGTTAATTAGGATTCCTTTTTTCTAAAAGGTAAACTGAAATACAAGAATGCAGATATCAAAACATTGGGCAAGCCTATTCAATCAAAAAATGATTAGTCAAGAGTGTTGTTTGGGCTGTATTACTTAGTAGGATTTGTCAATGAGTGCAATTGACAACAGAGAAAAAAAGACTTAATGGAACATTAGCACTTTAAACAAACAACACTAAGTCTTAAAATGTTTTGTGATTTTTACAGCATATTCATTGGCCCAGGAAAAATATAGGAGGCTCTTCTCTTGATGTTAAGTTGCAATGTTAATAACAACATTTCAAGGATTTCCATCCTATTTATAAGGGTGGTGGTGTCAGACCTCGGCCGACATTTCATGTGCAGTTGACACTTGAGTCCTGAGTCTTGAGATGAAAATAAGTTTCTCTATTCCAAATATTTTGGTTGTTCTTTATTTAAACTATAAATCAGGCAGAAAATAGAATACTTCTTCAAAACAGTTGCAGAAGAAAAACATTATTGAGGCCATAACACTTAAGTTTGCCCTGTAAGAAAAAACAGAAAAGGCACTTAAAGTAGTTCAATAGCATAGTGTTCAGTTGGGCTGAACGATCAATATATGTTGCACAGATACGCAGCTTTATTAGGTTTTGGAATCAAGTGACAAATCAAAACAAAATTCACATCAATGTAAAGGTTTGAGCTATGTCGTACCATATTGGTGGAAAGTGATCATGCACTGCTACTCAAAAATGTACAAACCTGGTTTACCATTTTTCAGCAGGATGTCATCCTAAAATTCCTTTGCAGAAATATTCTTACAGTTGATTTATATTCTTAATATTTGTACAAAATTTTATCTGCAGCTTCAGTATGTGACTGAATGGTTTGTGACCAGATGTTTTTATTTTTACTGTACTATGTGTTTGGTGAGTTCAGCCTGAGCTTTTATGTGTAAGAAAACACACTATTGCGAGAATGTGAAGTGTTTTCTTTTTTATGTAAAAAACTGATTGAAGTCAATATGTATAAAAACAAAAAGGTTTTTATACTATCTCGTAAGCACAATTGATTTTATTCTTAAGTCAATTTCAGATAAAATTCCTAGATCCACAGTATATATTAATTGCTTTAAGACTAAGTGCTAAGGTCAAGGAATCAATTGTGATGGTAAAAATTAGGGTAAAAGTCTGACAAGGGTATGTATTGTTTCAATAAAAAGTTCCCATGGGCAATGAAAACAAGACTTGTGGGTATGTCTGTGTTGATATGGCAGGTTAGAGGCGAGTGTCTTGGATTTCATCCTCAGCTTCCTCTGGGAGAGAGGAGATCTTGGCATTTTGTGGCGGTACCCTCTTCGTGGAGTTTAGGCGATGAAGAGTTGGAAAGAGGCGGAGACGGTCAGATGGGCTCATGGCCTGTTTTAGATGACTCATTTCGTTCATAAGTTTCTGGATAGAGTCATAGCTTTTTACAGAGCTGTTTTCAATCATCTTTAAAGGAAAAAGGAGAAAGAAGCTGGTTACTTCTCTGAGGGACTACATTTTTTTCGACAAACTTTGACAGACTTTGCTAAAATGGTAAATGCTTTTTGAAAATCTGAAAAATGAAAAGCTTTTAAATATCTGTTGTTTATTTGACCTTAAAACCACCAGGTTGTGAGAAGCAGTGTGTGTGATGGCTGAACCATCAATTTCAGTTTAGATTTTGTGAGATAAAACTCACAGGGCAACAGGTGATTTACTTTGAGATGGTTCAAAGTGATTCAATGTTTGAACTTGTATGATACATAAAGTTAGACTTTTTGGTCAGATAACAAATATTATTTTACAGGAAAGATAAACAGACGGAGAGTTATCATTGTGTTCAGGTAAGACATCATGTGGTCATCATGAGATTATATTCTCAGACAAGTTAATTGACGTATGAGTTAAATGAGAGGCTTTGAAGGTCAGATTTAAAGACTAATATTTATTCTATAGGTTACAAATCCTTTAGACTACACAACATGTTGTCAGTCATGATTACTGCTCCTCACAACCTTGCCTTTGTATCTTATGGCATATTAGGTTATTTGTTCAGGCACAGTCTTGATTAACTATTAGCCATATGCTTATATAAATAATAAAAGCAGTTTTAGTAAAAACTGACTGACTAAAATGGGCTAAAACCAGAATATGGTCCACGACTCACCAGGAATGATTGGCACTCCAGCAGCGCCTCTATCCTGTGTTCTGAAAGGATGACAGTGCAGCCAGAAAATGATTGCTTCAGGGTTTTTCTCAGGACCTGTAGAGTTCTGCACACAGACATGCAGAAATGCAAATATACAAACAAACACACACTATTATTATCATCATCAAATGACTTATCCTCATTGCTACAACTTTAGTTTAAACTGTGGCAAACTCGGTAGAGAGCTTGATTGTTCATTATAGGCTTCATTTACCGTCATGACCCTCCTCTGTCCATATGCCTGTGCACAGACTTCACATACAGCTCTTCAAATTTACTGTAAACACTCTAGATTGTCACCAGATGCAATGACAGAAACATCACACAGTTAAGACTTGCATGGCCTAAGCTGAGGTGTGACCTGATCTTACAAAATTCTGAAAAAAAAGAAAATATACAAACTCAAATGGCATTCAGATGGTTCTTGCGCACACAGTACGATACAAATTAAGAAAAATATTCAATACTTTTATTGATTCCAAAAAAAAGCAGAATGGGAGAAAAATAGTATCATATGAAAGAAATTACAAAAGTGAAAGCAGGTCAAGTGATTTATGTCATCCATCTTCGTAACCGATAATGGGGTCGCGGGGGGACTGGAGCCTAACCCAGTAGTCAATGGAGCGAGAGGCGGATTAAACCCAGTCCATCGCAGGGCCACACAGAGAACAACCATGCAACTTTTGTGTTCTTTTTTTAATCTTTACTTTTATTAATAAATAACTTTAATTTACCTTAAAACAACAGGTATTTCTTTTATTTCCCTTTTCCCCACAGTGAAGTTGACAGTTGGGTTAAGGTGAAACCACAGATAAATAAACTGTTTTCTTGTTGATTCTTACATGGGATCGAGGTAAGCAGAGGGCTCATCTAGCAGTAAGATACGGGCCTTGCTGAGGATGGAACGGGCAAGACACACAAGCTGTTTATGTCCATTGCTCAGCACACTGCCACCATCCTCCAGTTGAAAGTCCAGTTTGTCTGGAAACTGCTCAATGACAGATTTTAAACCAACCTGAAAGGACATGGGAAAAATCTTATTGTACCCTCTAATGTAAATATATGTTCTGTATAATCTTATTATATATTTTGGTATACTTTCCTTATATTGAAGTCAAATCAGCCTTTTTTTGTAATATTAAAGAAGGCTGATATAACATAATAGCAGTGGGGTGTTACAGTGATTCAAACATTCTGCCTGAAACACAAGCCTATGAAAGGTTTTCATATCATATTTTCATTTTTAGGAATATAATAACAGGGAATATACATATAAACATGTGTCTAAGTATCAAAAAGCTAAGATTCATTCCTCTGATTTTCAGTAAAATAAAAATAAAAATGTAAGAGTTGATTCATTTGTAAATCACATAGTAACAGTGAGTCAAACAGAACCTCACCTCCTCAGCCACTCTCCAAAGCTCCCCATCATTATAACGTCCATATGGGTCCAAATTCACCCGAAAAGTTCCAGTCAGGATGAAGATTTTCTTTTCCATCAAAACCAAAATAAAATAATTACATATAATTACATACAATAATTACACGACTGCGTTACAGGCAGTCTCAAATGGGACACAAAGACACCTTGACATGCACCTGGGATCAACCTGCCCATTGGTAGACAACAGGCTCCTACCCAAACGCTGATAGCTGTTGTTTATATAGTTTCCATTATTGCCAGTAAGTGTTGTCATTAAAATGAATTTAAAATAAATAGATAACCGCCACTGTGGCAGGATAGCACGATAGAATGGTGAGGAAGAAGAGACCCAAGACAATGGACAATCAGATTGGATTTTACTGCTGGAGGGAGCTCGGAGATTAAGCAAAATGACTGACAAATGCTTAATTGTTGATATTGATTCATAGTAACCAGATAATTCTTTTGTTCTGTTATGTTTTGTTTATTTTTGCTTGGCTTAATGAAAAGAGCTGTCAGCATTCATGTAATGAACACAATGGTTATCATATTTGTTCATTGCTAGTTAGAAAAAAATCCAAAACATAGGCAAAATAAAAATATGAAAGCATTGCATGTAAGCATCTATATTGGTACCAAGAGCAGAAAAAGTGAACCAGAAGCGATTTAGTAAGACATTTTCATATTTTTCCTTATGGTAAGCGAAATTGTGTTAAGCATTAAGTAGCTGAAACCAGCTATCTAATCAGATATGTACCTGTGGGACCACTCCAAAGGCCTTTCTCCATGTCTGCAGGGAGACAGAGCTTGAAGAAATGCCATCAACAGCCATTTCTCCATCTGTGGCTGTAAGGCGTAGCAAAGCAGCGAGCAGCGTGCTTTTCCCTGAACCTGTTCGACCCAACAGACCCACCTGCACACACAAACACAAATGTACGCTTGTACGCGTTGCTGATCAACAGAGGTGATGAAAATAAAAAAAAATTCTCCCAATTAATGCAATTTAAGTGTGCATTTAAAAATGTTGATTCTTCTACATCACTTAGTTAAACTCTTGCCACTGAGTGTTTTGACATTTCAAAACTTAAAAAAATGTTGTTTATTGCGTTTTAGTCACACAAACCCCTCTGTCACCATCACTAAGACTTACACTCTTCCCACCCTCCACAGAAAAAGAGATGTCATTGAGCACTGCACGCCCAGCCTCAGTGTATTTGACGGTAAGACCGTGGACATCAAGGTGGCCATGGTTGGGCCAGTAGTCGTGCACGTGAGGGTTGTTGATGACAAGGTCATGACTTCCTTTACCCCCAGACCTTCCCAGCAGAGTCTCCTCTGATGGCAAGTCGATGAATTTGAATACTCGATCAACTGAACGCATCTGAGAGAAGAAAAAAGCTGAAAGTGATTTGAGATCTACCTTTTGTAAAAATGTGTTTGTTTAGTCTGAAAAATAACTTTCTGCAAGTACAAAACATTTTACTGCGTTGATTTGATCCCATTGCAATCTAAAAAGCTAAAGCTAAAGTTTTGTTTCCATGCATAAATATTTTTTTGTAAATGTAATGCAAGCTATACTATCTGAACCTTTCAGTGAAATATAATCCAAGACTCTGCATTTCATTTTTGCTTTCCACACACCATGTAGGGCCATGCTAACTTCCCCCAACTCAGGCAGCAAAGTGTGTTTGCATACTGAACAAAATGTCCTGCACTTTGATAGCTTGGTCAATTAAAACATTCAAAGTGTGGGGGTTACAACCACTGAATGTGTGCAACCTGACATACAAGAGTCTCAAACTGAAGTTCCTGCAGTTCTGCCTGCTTCTTTTAACTGAAACTGCAGGGGTAAACCAGAACAAAAATAACACACTATGTCCAACCACATCATCAACTGCAGGTTCAATTCTGATTTGCTTACTATACATTTGGAAGATCTTTTTTTTTCTTAAGAAACACAAAAGTACCAGCAAACTGTGAAACTTATTATCAATTGTAAAAATCAATGAAGGCCACTTAATCCTACATTAAGGCAGGTTTAAGGGTTAAGGTGAGGCATATTTAAGGTTAAATGTGCTCTTTAAACTTTTTTCCAGGTATCAGAGAGGAGTTTTTATAAACTTTTTTTCTCAGCTTGAACACAAAGACATTAGTTTAGGCTGTGATCTATTTTGTTTGGTTGGTTTTAGTCTTTTCCTGCAGAAGACATATTGATTAGGTAATAAAAGTAAGTAATAAAAGTCACACTACAAACAGTCTTGTTCAATCTCTTAAAAAGAAGAAAAGAAACTAACTGAATTTTGCTTGGTAAATATAGTGTTTCCAAATTAGGGTAATTTGTCAAAAAAATTGAACGTAAAGGCAAAGTCTAAACTGCTCATATGTGACTGGAAGAACATTGAGAAATGAAAGTTTTGTCAAAGTTTTGAAGTTCTGAAATTGTGTCTACAGCTGTCATCTCTGAAGGCATCATTAATTCCTTGGCAAAGTTTTGGCTAAGGTTTAAGGGGTTCAGAGTTAACTTGCCCACAGGGTTAGGTCCTCTTTTTTTAGGAGGCTGCATATCCACATGAGCCAGAGTTATTAAGAATTAAGTGGCATGGTGTGTGGAAATTTGGGAAGACTGAAACCAGATGGGCAGAAATAATGTAGACTGACTGCACATAAAAAATGGAGTTTAAAAAAAACTACAAAAAATGCAAGATCCCTTTAAAACATATTCAAGAAAGGACACCTTATTCTGTATATTTGCCATGATTTAAGGATCTTTGATTATAACCAGGTCTAACAACTTGATGCAAACAATGATTTTTGTGGGTTTGTGTGTTTGTCTGAATCTCATACCAGTCCATCCACATTGATGCTGGTGATGATAGCCCATTGGAAAGTCCCAAGGATAAGCATGGCCAGAGCGACAACAATTCCAATTTCCCCTGGTTTGTCCTCTAAGGAGTGGGCATACAAACACACACATCAGTACAATGTCATAAGTACTGTCCAATCAAAGGTTTCCTCTCTGATGTCAGAGTTGCACTCTGCAACTGGCTCCATTAAAACCTAATGAGCTGTGAAATTACTCTTAAACCTCCAGTTAACATGAACGCAGCCTGTGACGCAACAACACGTGTGTTTGTGCGTGTGCTTATTTCACCCCCCTAATTAAATAAAATAAACACATACTTCCTTTTGGTAGTGTAGCAAGCAACATTTCCTCAGTTTTTGCAGTGTTCGGATTAACTTCTTAAATTGTTCAGCACAAAAAATTAGCTAACTTCTTAAAACTATAAAATACCCCTAATCTCATAATCACATAATACATGACCATTGATCTCATATCTTGCTCTACATTAAGTGAAAACACTACAGGAACTTCACCTGTAAGGATTGACCTCCCTTACAATGTTTCCTATTTTACTCATTTACAGTAAATAATTAAAAATATTTTTGTGGAGTTTGTTTTATTTGTGTGTGCATTTGTTTAAATGTGTTGCAGATCCTAGGATTACTTACAGCGAACTAATTATGCGATTTAGAAGTCTTAGTGTACATATTGCAGAACCACATCTTAGTTTAGAGCTTCTTAACAAAAGCAGTGAAGATATATATATACTAATTCATTATATATGAGGAACTATATTAGTTTTCTTTCCTCCTTGTGGTGATGGTAAAAACGATCCAATGAGTACTGCTATAGTAAGTCATCAATAATATAAACTGCACCTAGAGCACAGATGAAGTATCTTTTTTATCACAGACAAGCTTTAAATCAATCTTCTATCCATCCATATCACCATCAACTATCTACAGTATTCCCATGACTCACGGTTGGTTCCCACGGCAATGAAGGCAGCTGCAGTAAAGAAAATGACGAACAGCACATCACAGCGGAAGAGGAACCATCTCAGACTGGATAGGTAGTGGAACCATGTGGCTGTGTGGGTGTTCAGGGCCTTGTGAAAAAGCGTCTCAAAGTAAGTCTGGTGCCCAAATGCTCGAATTGTCCATAAACCTTTTAGTGAGATGATTAGGTGGGAGAAGATCGGACTTCGAGCTGCAGGAAAGCAAAAACACATATCCAAAAAAGTAGCGTATGAATGTGGTATTTGAAGGTAACATAAATATTGACTTAAAATCAGTGATAGCGTTGTTTTAGTCTTAAATTAAAATCTATTTCTTGCAAGCCTTCCGGCACACAAGAAGGAGAATACAAACATTCTGTATTGAAGAAGTATAAATATTTCTGCTTGCTTGTTTCTGGTACAACAATGTAAGGTTATTTCACTGTTTTGATTCTTCCATTTGAACCTTCCATTTGCAACATGAAACAATTATGGAAACCCATTCCACTGCATAACAATGATATTGTCAAAAAATACCAGATGGAAACTGGAAAAACCTATACATCTCAGCAACAAAACTAAACTAAAAAAACACACTGTGTGGAAATCAATCCTCTTCTGCAAGAAGTACTATACTTTCTTATTTTAAAACTTAATTTTGTGAGTCTAATCCCTTTCACTTAAGACCTATCCAGATAGAAAGGTTTAGGTTGTTCACCTACAACGCCTTTTCACTAATATATGAAGTTTCCACTGCAACATGCTGTGTAAAAACATCAGAATAATTGACACCAGGATGGGGTATCAGGAAATCCCAGCTCAGCTCATCTCTTTGACCAGACAGCAGCTCCGGAAAGGCCTTGCCATCATCACCAAAGCACACATTGAATGAAAGTAACAGGGGAAAAGCAGGGAAGTAAAACAAACAGCTTTTTTTTCCTTTGACAGCAAAGTCTTGGGCTATGCTGATCAGAGATGAGAGTCCCTCTGAAGTGTAACTTAATGTGTGCAGTTTTCAGTGTGTGAGCTATTTTCATACATAAAACATTTTATACAAAGGAGCTTGCTTGCAATAATTTAATTTGCCAAGTACAGAAATAACTGTACACAAAATTTCTTTTCCACAAAATTATTAAATTTTGCAATTGAGATTTGAGGATTACATTCAAGTACAGTGTTCATGGACTTAGAGCAAAACAATCTAAAATATTTCTTAGCCTGGATATGTAAAACCAAGTGGCCTGCCTTTCGTTAAACCCTATAAGGCAGTCTGACCGTCTTTTCACTCAACTTTGTCGTCTGCCATGTTTTCATTCATCCAATTGACATCTGCACTCACAGCCCAAGGCAATCCACCAGTTCTGCATTAGAACTGTGCCATTGGGTATCATCAAGTCTCCTCTTCTTTGATCTCTCCATTGGTCATTTCATTATTTTTTTATCTTATGAAAGAGGAAAACTCATTCGAATCATTCAAATCAATGAAATATACATATGTAAATTCAACATGATTAATTTCCTTACAGGCTTCAGGAATGGTACAGCATCTGTGGCTAGTCCCAATACACCAGTAAGCATACAGTGTACTGTGCTCTAACAAAAATAAAGAATTGAAGCATTCATAAATTAGTTGTGAAAACTTAGTTTTAAAACAACTTATTTAATTCATGCAATACTATATGTATAATTCTTTTGGTATTTCAGGACAGAACCAAATAATGTGTTTAAATCACATATGTGAATTGGCCACCTTGTAAATGCAGGGAAATATTGCATTAAGAAATGTGTTTGGAAAAGACCTTCTGACGAAAGTTTTTACACAAAGAAAAGTGAGCACTGCACAGGGCAGCTCCACTGCTGAGATAGAAACACTCTAAATTCTTAAGCAAACACAAAGAAAGTGCAGACCATTTTCTGATCTTGTCTCACCTTCAGCCTCAAGTTGTTTGAGCTGCTGTCCTGTTCGTAGGAAGTACTTCCGGATGACAACAAAAATAACAGCCAGAGGGATGGCAGCGATGAAGATGTATGGTCGCATAATGGACACAGTGAAGATGCAGCCAATGACGAGTAAGGTCAGCTGGTACCAGAAAAATTAAGAGTGACATATGACTACAGTCTCACAAACATAGTTGGACCTTTAAATTGTGTATCAGAGGTTGGTCCTAATGAAAATAAATCACTTTAACTGTTGCCTAAGCAGAATTTTTTTTAAAGATTTTGAGTCCTCAAATATTAATGGACAGCTACGATTAAAACTTATCTTCGATGTTGAAATAAGTCAGCACAGATGCTGACAGTTAGATGCATTTTTTACGTACATTAACAAAATTTGCAATGTCTATGCCTTTGCTGTTTATTATCGAAACATTATTAGATCTTATTATTAGAGTACCATGGGAATAAGTTTATATGTTGGACAAAAGAATGTGTTATGTTTAGTGTTAGTTACATTATGTAACAACATCCACTGATTTGGTTGCATACCTGTACGAGGTCAAAAAGCACAAGAGGCAGCATGTCATCTATGATTGCCATGTCTTTGGTGAATCTGTTCATTATCCGGCCTGAAAAGGGTGAATAATTAATATTTGTTTAATATTTATACATTTATTTTGTGCAGATTTCAACAATAAGACAGTAATATTACATTGTAAGTCGCTTTTGGATAAAAGCGTCTGCTAAATGCATAAACATAAATGTGGTATCGTAAATTGAATGTAATCAATACCTTGATACTTTTCCATTACACACTTTCATTTTTGGCTTTTCTAAACCAAACAGACTGTATGAATCGTAGCAAAATGTATCAAATCAAAGTGTAAAGTACCTGTTTTCATGGTGTTGAGCACTGACATGGGGGCACGTAGCACAGCACTAAGCATCTGTTCGTGGAGTCTTTTGGACACAGTTAGTAATGTGTGGACTAAAGGTAGACCTCTGAAGACCCCCAAGGCCAGTATGCTATCGGAATGAGCCACAAAGATGTAGATGATGTAGTATACACTTGTTGGTGTGACAATGACTGCCAGGTGGACAGGGGGGGATGATGCATTAGGGTGCTGCTCATCAATGAAGTTGGGTGAATTAGGGTTGGCACCATCCCTCCAGATCTCACTGATTGTGAAAAGCAAAATGGGGAGAATGAACTTGTAGCCTGACTTTCTGTCTACAAACTGCATGAAATTTCATGTCATTCTTGTATCTTTATGTTTCTTCATTTCATGGATTGTAGATTATTAAAAGAGAAAGCTCTGTTTTAAAGTAATATAAAGTATGAAATTGTAAAATACCCTCTTGAATTTTTGTATTCTTCAGTCAATTTGAAACTTTACGGTGTCCCTGAAGTGCAAACCACAACTACAAATTTAAAAACTCACCAACATATCAAAAACACTTTGATATCTTACAAAAACACAACATTAGCTACGCACAATTACAAATTACGAAAACACAACGGCATTAACAAAATGAAAGAGGTAGGTCCCAGTGGGAAAACCTAGGCAATGGCTGAATGGCTTTTGAAGCAAAAGTTAGAGCTTTCACTCTTTCAGCATTTAAATATGCGGGAAGACAGTCCCAGTGGTATGTATTGCCCAAGCTGCAGAAAAGAGCTAGTTAAGCTGTCACCAAACTTTTGCAGCAGCTGTGGCAAAAGGATTAAAGAAATATAAATATAATGTATGTGCACTAAAGCCCTAACTTCCAGTTCAAAAGACAAAAGTGGCGTCACCCAATCAGCAATTTCTCAGCTTTCCCACTGGGACCTAGCTTTTCCATTTTGTTGCGTTTTTTTGTAATTTGTCATTGTGCTTAGTTAATGTCGCAGTGTTTTGGATATGTTGCTGCATTTTTAAATGTGTAGTTGTGACTAGTGATTTGTTGATGTTGTTTGCACTTCAGGGCCACTTAAAAAGAAAATTTTACAGGTTGATGTCTGAGTTTGAGGGAACATGAAGTATAAACTTACTCAGTAATGAGGAAAATGCCAATGACTGAACCAGCAACCTATTGGTAGAAATAAATAAGCTTGTTTTTACAGGTGCATAGACACAGAAAAACTTTTAAATAGTTGCATTTTACCTCAATAGCAAAGACGATCACAATGAAAATAAGGACGTAAACTAAGCTTCTATTGGTGGAAACGTAGCGCAAGTAAGTGCTCCATGAGGTAGTTTCAAAGTGGCTTTCACGTTCATCTGCAAAGCATTCCTGTAAGTAAGCAAAACTGATCTTTTACAAAACACTCCAATTATCAAATATTACCTTTTTTCATAGAACACATTTTCAACCAAATATTCAGCAGTGTCACTGCTCAAAATGTTAAAAATGTCCTGTTAAGAAGTTGTACCTCCATATCTTCTTCGTCAACTTCCTCACTAATGTCATAAACGCTGTCCTTGGACAGACGTCTGGCGTATATGTCCAGCTCAGATGCCAGGTTACACTGAGGGGTTATGGTCAGCTTTCTTCTGAAGGATGACTGCATCTGCTCCCTGCGTTCTTGGCCCTGAGCATTTGTGATGAACGCCAAGACAGACTGACGTCGCTGCGCACCAAGATGTTGCATGCCATGGTGGTACAGGTTACTCTTTGGTAGAGCCTCCTCAACCTGATCATCCTCAGGTACAACGGAGAATCTTCTCTCTGAAAGTTCATGAACAGCATCCTCGAACATATTTGGCTGCTGGGAGTTCCCAATGAATGAGAATTTGCGGGAAGCTGCAAGAGGATTAAGTATGAGTGACTGCTTGCGTTTTTCAGGAAAACCATCATCATGGTTCTGTGGTGGTGCATGGCGGAATGACTGGCGGATTTGCTCTGAGCCGCGGAAACTAGTAGTTTCATCTACTGAGACCCTGCGAAGGGTTTCTGTGAGGATAGAGCTGCGCCGTTCTGCATTGATGTTGTCATAAGCACCAAGACCAAGCAGAAGTGAACTGAAATCTGGGCGTTGTGCTTGCAGTTCAGAGAACGTGCCGTAGAAGTAACAATCTCCATTATGCAGCAAAAGGATTTTGTCTGCTCGCTTCAGATGTTCCAACTTACTAGTAACCACAACACGAGTCTTGGAGGCCATAAGTTGACATACACATCTATGTTGGGATACAGAAAATGAAAAAAGTCAAAATAATTACATTTTTGGGAAAACTGCAATAAAAATGTATTCTTTTTTGGTAAAAATATGAATGCTAATGTCAAGAGCATGCATTCATCATAACAATTATGGTCAGGTACCTGGCTTTGATTTAGGTTTATTCTTCACTTTAAAAGAATGCCTCAGTCTAGATTTTATTTAAAAAAAAACCTTTGGTGAGCTTTAAAAAAAATCCCATTTCCTGAGAATGTCAATGAAGCTGCCTCAGTTTGCTGCAGTCAATATGAGTGTCTAGGACAACAAGAGCTGGTTTTGACCTTGAGCCTGCACTTCAGCTCATCCACCCTGACAAATGCCACATGAAAGGCTCTTTTGGTATACATACTTATCAAAGATCTCTTTCTCTGTTGCAATGTCCAGGTGGGTAAATGGAGCGTCAAGGAGGTAAAGGTCTGCATCTTTATACACAGCCCTAAGGAACAACAGACAGACAACCAGTCAGAGAAAATAGACAATACCTGTACTTATAAACAGCCAAGGTTAAAAAAACGTGGCTGTTTCTAAGCCAAGGTTGACAAGCTTTTTTATGAGATCTGAGCTTTTTCTTGAGATCCTCTTCAAAACATATAGGTTGTAAAGGGGAAGATGTTTTGGGGAATGTTGTAAATAACTTGAAATAAACATTTGCAAAGATGTCCAAAGCTGCAAACAAATCACTCACCACAAATCAATGCCCGGACACCAAAGCAATAAATAATGCATGGGAATATGAGAATAGTCTACCAAGAGATTTTATGAAGCAATAAAGTTCTACTTGTGCCAGAGAAAAAAAAGTAATAATGTGTTTAAAACTTTAGAGCTTAAAACACGGTAGATAAGAGTTGTATGTGGCCCTTTACAGCTTTGGGAAATGTACAGTTTTTGTGCACTAAAACTGCCAAGAGCTAAAATTGTCAACTAGATGATTATATTCATTATACTGATAACAGAGGTAACTGGCTCAGAAATTGATATGAATGTATTTTTTTGTCTACTGATGATAAAATATTTTGTTTTGAAAGAAAATAAGTGTTGATGTATTCATATATGTTTTTCTGTGTGAGACATCCAAGAATCTTATCTGTTGATTCTTATGAGCTATTTTGTGTTGTTTTTTAATCAGAAGTACAAACTTTGTTCTGGTTGAACAAAACGCAGCATCTAAAAACTTTTAGTTGATGCAGACTGCGCAAATGAGGCATGCTAACAGATGTAGGGGGTACCTGGCAAGGCATATACGTGCTCTTTGACCACCACTGAGAGTCACACCTCCATCAATTACAGATGTCTTGTCCTTATCAGGTAGCAAAGTAAAGTCCTGAAGAAGAAAACAAAGAGGTTACTGGATCATAGGTATATTTCATGGAGAGCAGGATCAGCAGTGAAATCAACACAATGGTAATAACATTACTGAATGTTACAGACTGAAAAAAATTCATCCATTTGCCATGACACTTATTAGTAATGGCGTCATGGAGGGGGGTGGAGCCAAACTGAAAGACTTATTCACTTCCTTTGCTCATTTTAGAATCATAAATTACCCTAACATGCACATTTTTGTACAGTGAGAGCCAGAGTACCAAGAGGACACCCCCACAAACACAAGGACAAATAACTCCAAAGACAAAAGCACCCAGCCTTCTGGAGAGTCAAACTGGGAACCTTCTTGTTGTGAGGTGACAGCGCTAACCACCACACGACAGTGCAGAACTCTAGAGAAAAAATATATTTTTATGGTAATCTTTACCTTGGTCACAAGTGTGAGTGCACAACATATTTTTGGTTAAAATTCTCTGACTTTCCCAATGCCAGAAACTAATAAATGTCTTTTGAATTAGTATCAAACACATTTTCCCTATTTTGGCTCAAAAGTTATGTGTTTATGGGGTCATTTAACACACCTTAATCTATATAAATAGGAAAAGGGCTAAACTGAGTAAGAAAGTCAATCTATCCTGACATGTTTTTGTACCATATATTTGCATATGTTGAGGAATTAAAGCAGTTCAATCCAGGTAGAGCTGACACAGTTCCCAAAAAGCCAATCACTACAAGACAATGCAAACTTAAAATGCGGATTGGTTCAACATTTATTACCTGCAAAGTGGACATTTTTCCATTGTCCATGCATATTATTACTAGTAGGGTTGCAGGGTTGCTGGAGTCTATCCCAGCCGTGGAGTCTATACCGTGCTAACCACTACACTACAATGCCATCCACCGACATGACATTCTAAGAATAATTCATAACAGAGTAGAATACAAAATCATTATCTGAACATTTTTACTACACAAATAAGTCAGTAATATTTTAACACAGTGGGAGCAGAAATAACCACCAGCAAACACATTTGAAACACCAATCCTAAGTAAATGCAATGTGCTGCATCTCTAAGACAGAGAGGGTATTTATCCATACTTTGTAGGTAACCCTACAGGTCTCTGATTGAATAAAGGTGTCTAAAGTCCCTGAAATTAATTATTAATAATTAAATTCAGAACTTATTTATTTCAACCAAACATTGTCCATGTATTCATAGTTATTATTTGTAAGATTCCAGAAAGGGAACAGTTCTTGACCAACAACATTCCTAAACATGATTTTAACACAATAACAAGCATAAACAAGCATATTGTAAAAATTCAAAGGACATATAATGGAAAAAACTGAGATGGTGGATGTGACAAATGGACACATTTTATGATTTTCTTATAGTAATTGGGAACAAAACAGATCCCAAATCAGTAAGAATGAAGTGTTTTTCATCATGAACCTTTTCATCATTAAAGCTTCCTACCTTTTTACTGGTAGCTTCCGCTGTCCCAATTGGAGCACATATGGAATCAAGTAAACAGATTGTTTAATAGCTTGCAAAATAGGGCAGCTTAATTTAAGCTTAAGTGTTGCACTGTATGACGGGGAGGAAAAGGATAAAGGAGCAATATGAGCTTTTAGAGTTGCCAAACTCAAAGCAGTCTGTTAGGTTTTACAAGGGGAAATAAAAGTAATTATAACTTTAATTACATGCCCAGTGAAGGGCATCCTTGAGTCCCAAGCTGATGTCACATATGCATTGAAATGAGTGTTTGTCTCTCTAAGTCTCTCTGAGAATTAAGCAAAAAGAATAATCTGTATTGAAATATCTGATCAAAAATAATAAAGAACCAACATAAAACAAAACCCTACTGTTCAGTTTTTTCACCTGATATTAAAAGTAAGGTATTTGCTTTTACAAACAGTAAATTAGGACATTAAAAATATGGATTACACTATGGTCAGCCAAACTTTCATTTACTTTCATTTTATGTTTTTGTTGACAGCTCAACTCTTTTTGACAAGAAGACTAAATTGTGGGAGAGAAGTTAAGTCGTTTTAGAATCATCTAAACATCAAACTCTCCCTTTTGCGCTTTACTGTTGAGACAATGAGATTATGTTAGCAGTCCTAGCCACAGTTTCTTCAATTATGACAAAACCCATGCAAACTGGCAAATGCATCTTGGCATCACCTAAACAAAACTTTTCCTGATCTGCATTAGTTGTACTCAGCCCACAGTGATTTTCCTGAGCCCCAAATAGTGCTGTCACAGATACGTTATTTTAAAATCAAAATCTAGTAGGCGACTCTGTTTATTCAGAGCTAATTTATTCTTTTGAGTATGACTTCTGTCATCATCTCAATCCACTGATTTTAAGGTAGTCAATGGTCTTTGTTTATCACTGTCCCCTACATTAGTTGTCTGCATAGACAGTACATACAATATGACTCTGCACGGATGTTCTATTGTTTCACTGTTATTGATGCTTTGAACCATGTTAGATATTCCTCCTGAAAGACTAATTGAGAGGGTTTTTTTTCTTTTCACTCTCTTTTGTTTTGTTAATAGAAACACACGTTCCGTATGCTGGTACTGTTTGGTTTGAAAACATTAAATGTTTTTGTTAAAACTATTTAGGCATAGTCAACACCAGAGAGCACGAAACATTTCAACCAGCGCTGTTATCAACAGAAGGAGCAGCACCACTGATACAAGTAATAACAGAGTTGTATTCATAATACAATTAGAAAATGTCACTGAATTTTTGTCTTCAAACATCTGCTAATGTGAGTTCCATTTCATAGATAAATAGATATAATTGAAATCCATGACACACTAGTTGTTTTTCATCTGATTTCTATTGGGCCTATCCAAAATTAGCATTCACAAAATGGACAAAAAGTACAGTATTGCATTATATGTATGCTCTTTACAAATGCATTTAAAATAAATTTCTTCTGCACCAACAATGACTAAAATATGTTATGAAATTTTTCATTATTGCATGCTAACACCTTGCGGGTCTGAGCTGTTTTTTCAGCTCACGGATATGGCTGTGTCCATGACTGAGAACAAAAAAGGCTCATATTGCACCCCAGTGAGACTTCCATGGCAACAGAGGAGACATTATTCAGTTGTGGAAACATCCCTCAACACTTAAGAGTATGAGAGAGTGATTGTGTGTTGTATCCGACAGAATGTGCAAATATGTGTGTGAGGTATATCATTGGCATAAATATGGACTTAGGAAACCTGAAACTTTTAAAGCCTTGCAGTGGCTCCAAATGAGCCTTCAACTGAGCAACTGAGTGGAGATTACTTGCTCAGTGACAGCATATAAACATGTATGATCTATCTACATCTAGGGTATATATATATATATGTGTGTCTGTGTGTGTGTATGTATGTATACACAATTCTATCATTTACAGAAGAAGATCTCTATAATCTGTATGTAGAATCAGGGAAAAAGAATGAATGACAGGTACCTCCTCTAGCTGGCAGGCTTTTACAATGGATGTGTAACGGTACTCATCATAGGTCAGGCCAAAAAGAATGTTGTCACGAATAGTTCCTGGCATGATCCAAGGAGTCTGAGATGAGTAAGAAAGTCGACCACTGTGTCTGATTTTACCCTCTGAAGGCACCAGCTCTCCAAGGATCATCATGAGGAGAGAACTCTGATGGAAAACGGGAAAAATGTTGTCACTTTATCTGAAGCCATGACAAACTAATACCCTTGACAGAGTCACTATTTCGACTTGGACCGCTCAACTTCATTTGTTAGATAACAAATTTAGTCTCAGTCATTAATCACAGTTTCCTTAAGGTGAGATGATTTCTTTGACCTACTTTTCCTGAGCCAGTAGATCCAGCCACTGCAAGCATCTTGCCCTCTTCCAGCCGCAGACTAATGTTTTTGAGAACAGGTGTGACGTATAAGTTTGTGAAGAAGAGCCCGTTTTCACCATTCAGGTGTCCATTTGCTTTGCTTTCCTGTTTGATTTTCTCAAACAGATTACCAATCTCCTGCAAAAAGAATACAGTTTTCTTTTGTTTGAGTTATAAAAAAAAACACACAACATTTTGCATCAATCTGCATATTAAAACTTTCCTTTTCAGTCACTTATCGCTTAAGTGTGGGTATGTGTGATTTTTGTCTTTAGATTTGATTACTGCCTTTTTAAGGGCTTACAGCTTTAGTGCATGTATACTTGTCTATCATACAATGCTTTCCCACAGTGACAGTGTGTCAAACAAGAACACTATCCAGAGTCGTATTCAATACCATCACCTCTGCACAGATTTAACAGTGGCATAGCACGTTGTTAGAATAGGGAACTCTGCGGGATTTTCTGGCTTAATCACTGACTTTGTGACATTTTATAGGTCACCATTCCCCCAATTCCGGTGTAGACAATATATAGGGCAGGGTATGGGTTTATGTGTGTTATTCTTATACTAATGAAGTGACGTAAATGCTGTCAGCAATAAAGAAAGACAACCCCCATTCATGTGTGAACAGTACATTCCAGGAAGAGGAGAAAGCAAGAGGATAATTTGGGAATTAGGTGATGAACACTGATTCTGAGAGGGGAATTGAATGTTCCCAGAAAGGGCAAACTTTAGTGACATCAGGATAATTAATTTGCCAACAAAGCTAAAAGAATATGGCAGGATGTTTGTTTTCTCACGGTATCAGGTAGTCAATGAGTCACACCTGCTTAACTAAGTTTTGGGCCTTTGTCTATGGATAAGATTATACTACCCGCTCCCAGGGGCTAAAGTAAGTTAACGTTTACACCTGTAATAAATGGTGGATTTACGAAGGTAATCCTGAGGATTACCTCGTTCCAACATATCAATGCCATTTTATGGTCCTGGCTCTCAAAGAAAAGTTACTGCTATTGTTTATATAGATAATGCAAGATGCTTATTGCTAAAGTAGAAAATAGAATATTTTTGCACATTATTCTTAACATAAGTTGTCCAACAGAGGAAACAATGAAAAATTAAACAAGCATAAAATTATATTTACTCATTGACTTTTCTCATAGTGATACTAACAAATTAGATAAATGGAGAAAATAACAGATGCAAATGTATTTTTAGGTAAGCACCTCATAAACTGAGTATAAGAAAGTAAAACAATGGAGAGGCTGTAGTTTCCAACTCAGGTAGCCTAAGTTTAACCCCAGCCTAGGGCCTTTGCTGCATGTTATCCACCACTAGCTCTGTCCCCTTTCCTATCCTCCTACTATAAGTCAAAGGCCATATTGCTTGTACCAATCATGAAGAATATCCAATATATGATGTGATCTTGTGCCACTGCTGGCTGCACAGAACCACAGTTTATAAAGAATTTGTAATAAAGCATCATTTAATATCATTGACTGATATAGAGTATTTCAAGTTTGTAATATTTTATCTTGCACGATTTGCAGAATCTTATCAGAATTTAGCATGTTTCAAAATTAGTCAGCATGTGAATCGCTGTTCCTTTTGAGTTATTCAAACATGCTTTTGCCCAAAATATGCATTACTTCACCCAGCAGCAGTGTGCCAATGTTTGTTTTAGGAAGCTAACAAAAAAAATTCTAAGTGTCTTAAAGCACAATTGGAGAAGTTTGGGAACCATAAAACTGTTCTTGACCCATTTTGAGGTATATTGACTTTCTTTTCAAAACACATTAGTAATGTCAGTAATGAGTCAGTAATGTCTCTAGAGTATCTAAAGGCAGATATACTGCATTTGATGACTTCCAGTTTGATGACTTCCAGTTTCCAGTCCTGCGCCATATTTGATATTTTTCTTTATCGTGGCTTGACATTTTTGTTGAATTTTGATGGCATTTTTGGGCCTTTTCAACATGACAACAAATTGCATGTTCATGTAAAGGGCTCACAATGTGGTTTATTTTCATGGCACTGGTATTATATCAAATGAGTATATGTGGAGCCAAAGGGAAAAAAGGCATATTATACATGGCTAGTTTATGCATAGCAGTACCTGCATCTCATATATAAAATTATTTAGGTTTTGATATTCAGACACTAACATACCTCATCCCAAGATGCAGACACATTGACCAGCTCTAGTCCAACAGTGGTCAGGCTGTAGTCCAACACTCTGTATTCTTCCATCAGCAAGAAGTCCTAATGGAAAAAAGCCAAGGACCCACAATAATTATTAGGTAAATATATCACCTTTTACTGTAAAGTAAAATGAAGAATGTTTGGGCCTGATGTGTGAAAATTAATTATATTGCATGAACAGACCAAATAAGTTTATGAACATAACCTAGACCTTAGGGCCTACCTCAATTTTCTTGACTAGTGCCAGTGTGTCATACCACATTTGGATGGAGCCTGGCAGCTGGCGGGTAAGAGTCATTCGTAGTACTATGCAGTAGGAGGCTGTGGTGAAAATTCTACGCAAGATAATGCCGTTACTGAGTGCATGTGGTACAATAGCTGACACAATAACCAATATAGCTGAGAAGAAATATGAGGCACTGTAGAAGTATCGCAGCGAGCCAATCTTCCTTGTTAGAGTCATCTCATCCCTGAGAAGAAAAAGGACAATTGTATTACTATTTTTACATGCCCTACACGCATAGCAAAATATTATTTAGATAAACTGTAAGCTCATGTGTATGTCAGTACATTATTGGCTGGACTTAAAGCTAGAGAACCTTCCTGTATCAAAAAAAGTTTTTAATTCTATTTCTTTTTAATTCTATGTATTTACTTTTTAATTTATTAAAAGTGATATCATTCTTGTGCCACTGCTGACTGCACAGAATCACAGTTGATAAAGATAAATTCAGATCAAAAAGCTATATCTTCAGGCTTTGGCTTGGATATTTACCATATAATATTACATCAGGACATGTAAACACGTAAATTTAAGCCACCTCAGCCCATATGAATAGTCTCTCTGAAAAAGTCATCTTGAAATCTTTTAATTTCATCTGACTCAGGACTAAATTAAAAGGTTTTCCACAATGGAAGGTTTAATGCAAACTGTAGCAATAGAGACAGCTTTATACACAATTTACAAAAATTTATGAAAAGTATATGTAATGTATTGAGTTTTTAGAGTGGAATTTAGCAGTGCCTTACTGTCTGATATTCCTAATAATGGTTTCCATCACCTCCTCCCAGCCATATGCCTTCACAGATTGAATGTTTTCCACAATCTCTGATGTGAGAGCCAGACGACGGTTGATCAACCCTGCTCGCTTTGCCCTGTTCACAGGAAACAGTTTCTCACAAACAGGCTTAATTGTTCTGAAATCTTTACCATTGACATAGAGTGATTTAGTTGTACCCAGAAAGATACACTTACAATTTAAAATGAAAACATGTAATATCATATATACGGAAAGTGTATTTGATAATGCATCCTCACCTGTGTGGTCCCATCTTCATAGATAGCCAGGCCTGGACAATGCCCAGAAGAGTTAGAGCTGCAAGGCCGCAAAACCCATTAACCTCAATCAACTCCCAGATCAAACCAACACACAATATACACTGCAGAGGTGTGATCCATATAAAGTGTGCTAGACCCAGACTCTGTAATGAACAAACACAAAACACAGAAATATAAATAAAGTTGAGTAGGCAGGAATACACTGAACATGAAAGAGACAGTACAGCAATTAGATTGTGCTAGCTTTCTGATGGTATTTCATAAGAAATCTTTCTAATACTATATGCCCATATGATTACCTTTATTATTCATTGCAAGTTTACACATTTTATTTTCTCAAATTCTGCAATAATAACCTAATAATAACTAAAATAATATACGCTCTTCAAAACTAATTAGAGCTTTTTTTTTAAAAAGCATCCAGGGAAATAAGTTCAATAAAAAACTTAAAAAGAACAAATATAAGTAAACGTCTTGATTTTCATTTTCACTATCAAGCAAAAGTTTGGTGTTGTGGTGGTAAGAGCCATTTCCTAACGGCAAGACGGTTTTGGGATGCATATTCTCCCCTATTTTACGTGGGTTACCCACAGTAGTCCAGCTTCCTCCCATTGTCCAAACACATTGTAACAGAAAAAAACTAAATATGTGGTAGAGATAAGTTTTGAGATCCACTTTATTCCATGCTGGTCAGACCAGTCTGGTCGATTTTACTGCATTTGAACATCAGGGGGTATATTATTGATTTGATGCCGATGGTTTGTGTGTAAAGGTGTTCCTGGGAAAATAATTACGTGAAGAAAAAACGGGAAGCAAGATATCACTTTCATCGAATAAGTGGATTAAATGTGCCTCAAGCCCACTTTGTTTTAGTCTTTGTTGAGTCTCCTTTCTGAAAATAAAAAAGAAGGGAAACATTTCCCCCAAGTGTGAATGGGAGTATGTGTGTTTGTCTTTGTGTGGCCCTGTGATAAACTAGTTAAAAAACAAAAGCTGAAGTATTTGAAACTTTTAAAAATAAGCATCACTATTTGAAGTTAGTGAAAAATGTAAGCTGAATACCACTTGAAGACAAAAAAGAAAGAGTTCTTATGAAACAGAACATTGTGCTGGTCCGGTGAATGAATGCACCTGAAGACACTCAAGAAAAGAGGAAAAAGTGACCAAGCGGGCACCAACTAGCTGAAGAACATATTCAAATATGACATGAAGTAATCAAAAAGTTAAAGAGCAAGAGATGAGAAACTGGATGAAGACTGGAAGAAGAATAACTAAAGTATTTGAAAGAGCAAATATTAAACTAAAAAGAGCTGTTGCTATGAATTAGATGTGAGAATGCTGAACGGATAAAAGAATATCCTGGAAAATACTAAATGCACCAGAAGATGTTTACTATGTGAAAAAACTGACAGATCATGGGCAGAATTTGTGTAAATGGAGCTGTTGAAGGAAAGTAGGAATAAAAAAATAAAAAAATAGAAACACAATATTTTCGATTTTTGGAACCCGGTTCCCAGTTTGGAGGGGGCTTCAGTTGAAAGCGTTCCAAGCGTTCCTACATTGCAAGACAAGACTCCAAGATTTTAATGAGCTGACAAGTTGCACAAATTATAAGTCCTATCTGAAAAAGGAGAAATTGAGGAATGCACAGGTATCACAGTTTTCATTTGAGCCAATGTTTAAGTAGTAGGAGCAGGAAGTGGTCAAAGTTTTTGAGGGGGTTTGAACGATTTTTCATTTATTTCAATGAGAGCAAAAACTGCATAAAAAGCTTACTAACTCATACAGTGCGAGAGAAATCAATACTAAGAGAAATAGCAATGTTCTCCTGAATCTTCATATTCTGAAGGAACTAAAAATCTCCAAACTCCTGTATGGTCAAAATGACAATATTGAACCCATCCAAACCCTCAGCTACTGCTCATCTCCTCATCAGTAAAGTAAAGCGTCCAATAACACTGTGCAACATCCAAGCTTAGTACACTGAACTTACTTTTTTTTTTCAATTTGTTGTCAGATAAAAAAAGCACTAGACTTTCAGACTAACTTTTGTGGCGACTTTAAGCTCTTTCTGAACAAATCCAAACCTTTTGTTTTTAAGGGACTTTTTTTCCACCACTTAGAAGGGGATACTATCAGAATAATGTCGACTTAAAATGAGTATAATATATTTTTATATACATGTAATTTTAAATGATATATAACATAATATGTCAGATATATCATATTCTGCTCTTTAATGGATTGGCAACAAGGTGTACCTGTGTACCCCATCTCTTGCTTGATAGCAAAGTAAATAGGGTCCAACCTCCACCCAATTAGTAGAACATGAAAATGGATGGATGGATATTATATTATTCATACAAACAGTTTTCTAATTTACAATTTATCAAACAGTGACTGATTACGAAACAACAGAGCAAATTGAAACATACAAAAGAGTATGAGTAAAAAAGAAGACGAACTTTCTTGCTGAAAGAATCAAATTTCATCACCTCCATGTTTCTGAATCTCACCTGTACTATAAGTCTAGCACTCAGTTCTCACCTCAATAAGCCCACTTTTATCCACTCATCTGCAACTTTCCTCCTTTCAACCATAATGCACCCACACAGACAAAGTAGCCACATCTTTCTGTGTTATGTAAGCCACATTCAAGGCAGGTGATAATTGTCCTAAAGCAAGTTGCAGAGTGTTTCCAGATTCGACACCTCAGTGAAACTGACCGCAACATAGCTGACAGCTTATGCACGTATAAACACTCTGTAGCTACGTTTTCCTGTGTCATCTTTGTTTTCCAACAACTGCACACAACAATATTTGTTGCTTATTGATTAATAACTAATTGGGTTTGTTTCCACTTTACTGACCTCCTGTTTCTTCTCACTAAAAATCAACACACTGAGTGAAATTGGGATATTGATTCTCTGAATCACATGTAGATGTGAACTAGCAATCCTTGTGATAAACTTTCAGAAAAAATATGATGAAAATATGAAAATATTGATCAAAACTGTCTGTCTAAAAAAAAAAAGTTTAAAAAGAACTCACCTCATCCAATTTGTTGAGGTGAGCAGACATCAGACTAACAAGTTGACCAGTGCTGATCTTATCCAAGACTCGACTTGACAGCTTTAGAGTCTGAAAAGTTCAAATGTTAGAGATTAGTTAAGGGACAATGCATCAAAACCAGTTGGATGAGAGGCAGTCAGCATCATTTTATTCCTTGCTTTGATTTCCCTCCTGAGATATACCACACGATATACACACAACATTATCTATTATTTATATGTATGTTTGTATGTATGTATGTATGTATGTATGTATGTATGTATGTATGTATGT